GAGACTACTGGATTAGTAATGGCTGGGTGGTGAGACTACTGGATTAGTATAATGGCTGGATGGTGAGACTACTGGATTAGTAATGGCTGGGTGCTGAGACTACTGGATTGGTAATGGCTGGGTGGTGAGACTACTGGATTGGTAATGGCTGGGTGCTGAGACTACTGGATTATTGGATTAGTAGGTGGGTGATAGAGGCTAAGATATCTAAATTTTGCTAATATTTAATCAAATTTTAAGATTTGTTTGTTACTGATGGTATATGCTTTATATTTTAGGTTGCCCTAGATAACCAACTGGCTTTAAAACACTTCTTTTTGAAATTTCCTGAGTACAAGGCCAATGCATTCTTCGTCACTGGGGAGAGTTATGGGGGTATTTATGTTCCGACACTGTCAGCCAGACTCGTGGACGATTCCAGCTTCAACTTCCAAGGCTTCATCGTTGGTAATGGACTGAGCGACAGAGAGATGAACACCAACTCTCTTATCTACTTTGAGTATTACCATGGATTAATTGGAGACAAGTAGGTTTCTTATATTGTGATTTTTTAATATTTATTCAAATAAAATTTAAGTGTTCAAAAAAACTAACATTGAACTGAAAGAAACTGATGTATGAACCGTATGTATGCTGGAAAAATTTCGCCCAGTCAAACTTTCGTCCTTCATCAATAAAACCAAAGTTTGCCCAGTTCTAATTTTACCTTTCACATTTAATTACATTTACTTTGTATATTATGTTGTTTACTAATGGTCGCTGTCAAGATTAAGGCGCCCACATTACGGAGGTCAAAAAAGGCTAAAAATCAAACTGCAGCGAAAATTTTCCAGTTTACAGTATCTGTATTACGACAGTTCCTACATGACAAGATTATGTTTTATTTTCAGAGTGTGGGCGGATCTGTCCGAGGTATGCTGCGGAGGAAACGTCACACGGTGCTCATTCATGGCTAGTGCAAAGAAAAGCCTGGCATGTGAACAGCTTGTGAGTATGCTGAAAAAAAGTAAACACAGTTTTGTTACCCTGTAACACACCAGTGGCAGATCCCATACTTTTTACATGATAAAAGGCCCATTTTCTGATATAAAAGGATAAATGTTTTAAAAAAATTGTGTTACAGATATAATACTACATAGAATAATTCAGTGTAGCCATTAAAACGTTGGCCCGATATAAATCTGTTACTTGTATGACAGGTATGTTTGTGATAATGTATGTATATTTGATTTTGTAGGTCACTGGTACCATGGAGATTGTGTACTCCAGTGGGCTGAACGAGTACAACCTGTATGGTCCATGTGAGGGACAAAAGGGTCTTGTGTTTGATGAGGTCAGCAAAAAACTGACATTTACACACCTTAACTGGCCATTCATACAGTTTCCTCCTATACAGAAACAAGTCAAGGTAGGTGGATCAAAATGAAATAGCTTTTCATGGTAACACCTACATGTATATCTACAGGTTCTGCTCAATGCCGCTTTTGATATTTTGACCTATAAGATTTTTGCTGAATTGCCTCATGGATTGTAGTAAAGGACAATAGCAGTGTTTCACAGGGAACCATAAATAAATAATAATCTTCAACAGGCACATCATTATGCATTTACCAAAGTTAAATCACATCTTGCAGTAATACGGTGAGAGACATTTCATTTCAGGCTCTACAAGAAAATGCTGACATTGAAAACAACATCAGACTGACCCCTCCATGTCTGAACTACGACCAGGTCATCAAGTACATGAACTCCCCAGAGGTGAGGGCTGCTCTCCACATATCGAAGGAAGTCCAGAAATGGGATATATGTAGGTAGGTTGTGACGCTAACTCTCAATATGGATGGTTGTCATGGTAACAGATACTAATACAAGGTCGTCGTGGTAGTGCTAATATAATTTCATTGTAACGTAGATTTAAATTGGAATGTTGTCATGGTAACAGATACTAATATAAGGTTGTCATGTTAGCAATTTTTCATGGAACATGATCATGTAGTTATTTGTCATTTAGCAAAGCACTGCCCACCTGGTGGGCCGAAACATGTATACCTTGGAATCAAGTTGCTGATATGCTCCAATTTTTATTATGGTTTCTGGTCTTTTTAAAACAGTTGTTAAAAATAAGGTCAACTGAACCGCTTTGCAAGATGGCAATTAGATTGACAGGTAATATATTGAAAACAATGAACAGATAAGATATCATGGTAACACCTGAAGTATGGGTAGGTTTAATTTGTCATGGTAAAAGAATAATGTAGGAGCATTGTTATACAATTTAGTTATGATTAAAATTGATATTAAAAGACAGGTATTTTTACTAATATACACATGTTTCAAAAAAAGGTATTTTTTGTTACAAACCTTGTAAGTGACATATGTAGGTTATCATATCCATCAATACTACGATGTTGAAATGTACTATTCTGTCGATACTGATGTCTGGTTGATCCTGTTACAGTGCTGCTGTAGGCATGCAATATAAATCACTGTACAGCTCAGTGAGGAACCAGTACCTCAAAGTCCTGTCTCGCAAGGTAAGCTTGGCTTTCTACGAAAATGAAGCATTTTTTTTTTTTTTTAGTTTTATAATTTTTGTTGCATGAAACAACTCTGCAGCCATCTGGTATTTGTTATTTCTACATCTTTCACTGTGAAACGTTGTTCAACCTCATTACACAAAGAAAACATCAAACCCGCAAGAATTAGTTAGACTTGGTTGATAACTATCTTTCTGACAATATGTTTGATAACTCCTCGGCCCAGGACGTTCGGTTTAGGTTGTGGTCTATCCCACAGTGACATATCACAAATACAGCCATTTTCATAACCTAATAAAATTCTCAGTGTTTTACTATGGATAAAAACAACAAAACCAAAGTATGAACATGTGTTTATCCCACTTTGTTTTTTTGGATTATGAAAATAAGTCTTGGGTGGTCAGGTCATACAGTGGATAGTGCACTTGCTTTTCACCAAGACAGCCAGGGTTCAATTTAATTCCCCGATCAGACGTGAGAAGGTATGGGGTCACCTACCCGACCACGTGGGTTTTCTCCGGGTACTCTGGTTTCCTCCCACATTAAGAGCTCCTGGGCGCTACCATCCGATCCAACAACAGTGATTAATACAAGTTGATCAAAGTTGTTTGGCAATTGTTGTAAAATAAATAAAGTTTAATTTAATTGAAATCTTTACGAAATGTTTTTAGTGTTGGTATCTTTTAAAATTTTAAAGATCAGTGCTTCTTTAATTCTGAATGGCTTAAAGATTCTATATTATATACTCAAATTTATAATTAAGGAACAAACTGTAAAAATATGGACTTTCTACTAGTTATGTGCTAATGCTAACTCAGGCTGAAGGGATATTTTTACTCAGACTTTGGTTAAGGAAGGTACACCTTAATACAACTTGTCTGCCTTCGAAAATTTTGAATAGCAGATTCCTTAACTAAAGGCTACATGTATGATATTGGTCCTTACAGAAACGTGTGATGGTGTACAATGGAGACGTGGACATGGCCTGTAACTTCCTTGGAGACGAGTGGTTTGTCAGCAGCCTCGGTCAGAAGGTAACCATGGTTTCTTACAGGTGTGGAAGGTTACCTGTAGCTGTAATTACACTGGGTGTTAAATGGTGTAGCTTACTCAAAGGTGTAAAATATAACAGGTGTACAGATTCAGATACAGATAGTTTATTAAAGTCTCACTTTCCGCATCCATACAATAAAATACCCAGAAAACGTATGACGAAAGCCACTCTAATAGAGTTACGGGAGACGAAAAATAGTTTGAAAACATGTAAAACACTTACATAAAAGAAACTTGCTTTAAAAGGTTATAAGAGAGGGAAGCTAATACATGCCATGAAAATATATTGAAATTTCAAACTTAGATGTACAATAATCAATGATATATAAAATTAATACGACGTTTAAGAATAGCTGCTACAGCTTTGGCACTATATATTAAGCACAGTTCTGAAGGTGTGAAAGGTTACCTGTAATATTTGGCTATATTAGTTCTCTATGTCAACAAAACATATGTTTCCATACCTAATATGTATGGTTTATTTCTCTCCTTGATTGACAGGTGGTAACAGATAGAAGTATGTGGCATTACACAAATAAGGCTGGTAAACAGGTAGCAGGTTTCGTCAAACAAATGGAAGGCATTTCTTTGGTCACAGTCAGGGTAAGTCATTCTATCTGAACTCTAGATTTCCCATCATCAGAGTAAGTCTTCCTAACTCTCCAGTCACTCTCAGAGTAACAGCTAGTTTATCATGCTGTATTGTACCACAAATACCCCCCCCCCCAGGGGAAAAACGTGAAAAAAAAAAAAAAAGGTCGGGGGAGGGGTTGATTTGTTGCAAGCAACCCCTTCCCCTGTCCACATGCCTTCAGCATGACGTCAGCCATCTTGGACAATACCTTACTACTACATTTCACTACAGTAAATAATATTTTATTTACTTAGAATAGCTCATATTGTGCAAAAAAACGCATGGCAGAAATGAAATTCACAAGACAGTAATCATGTGCAAAGAACACATAATGAAAACAATGCAAAGTGTTGGGTAAAAAGGAAAAGCTTAACGACCAAAATATAACATTGTATAGTCTGCCAAATAACCATATCTTGTGTCAAAAAATGTTTTTGTTCTATACACCGTAATCATAAACCATTATTATCTGTCTTTGTACGATATCCTCCCTCTCAATATAACACATTGAGATACAATGTAGTTCCTTAGCCAGACGGATGCATTAACGCTGAGTTGCAGGTCAGCTCAATTCTCTTGCTTTTCCCTCTCTTTTTTCTCTTCATGAAGGTGTTAGGTTGTAGGGTACTTACTAAGTGTAGCTTAGATATCTGTGGAATCGGGAGGGGTGGTCATTAACTTATTTATGTAACACGTAGCGAAGCCATGAGTAGCTTAAGTGAGGCCGAGGTAATGTACTTGTTAGGTGCTGTGTTGTATGTTATTACTGTATAGGGGTATAATAAATGTTCTTGTAAGTGTGTTTGCTATTCTTACTTATATATATCCTATTAGCATACAGAACCCTAAGTAGAGAACCTGGATAAAATCTCGCCTAGCTGTTACACATGAATAATCTGTGTTATTCCTCTACTTCCTAGGGAGCGGGACACATGGTACCAACAGACAAACCGGAGCCAGCCTTAATCATGTTCTCAAGCTTCTTACAGAACAAACCCTTGCAGTAACGGACACTATACTGTTAACATGACATCAGCGAGATAAAAGTGGAGGTTTCCTGGGGCCAGCTGTTAAAAGCATGAGTAGGTTATAGGGAGTCTGTAATGCAAATTTTCAAATTTATTTTTTTGAGAAATATTTTGAAATTTACAAATATTTTTGTATTCCTTGCCTTCTGATTTTAATTGGAAAGTCAATACATATAGTTTTTAATTTTTGGATTTCAATTTTGCATCTTAAAATTTAATAGATGCACCTTAGCTTGTTGAGCTAAATTTTTAACTGAATACCAAAGATCACAGGAGTGCCATTTTAGATATATAAACCTGTTGAGTATTTCAGTTGTCAGTCACAGGTTTTATATCCTGTGCAGTCTGTAGACTCAAGGCTACATGTATCTACAATGTACCTGGAGATCAGGGAAATTGACCTCAATTTATTTTTGATTAAGACAAATTTATAGCAATCAAGGTTGTAACGAGCATCATGGACAGTGTTATGATTGATACTTTTACAACTGTTCTCTTTTAAGATTCAGTGACTTTGGATCCCGATTTTGATAGGGCTTCAGATACAGTACCATACTATAAGCATTGAAAAGAATAACAAAGATTTACATATGATATGGATTAATTTCTCATTAACACACTTAATTAAGTACTGTACACGGTATATAGGAATATTTTGACCTAGTCAAATAAATGCTTTTCACCCCTCTGTAACACCCATACTAGCCCAATGTTAATTTCACCATTCAGAGTAGAAATATAAGTTAAGTTTGGTCTTCTTCATATTAAATTTGCCCACATTACTAAGCTAGGTTCAAAAGGTGAACTGTGAAAAGCATGACCTGTTATATGGCAACCCTTTGTGGTGCATACATTGTTGTTCTGGTTTGATCTCTAGTTTATGCTAACATTCCAAATTGTTGTTGATGCTGAGATTGTGTTTTGATAGAGTATTTATTTTGTATTATTTATAATATGATGTATTGTGTACTTACATGCTGATGTTTTAATTGATTGAAGGGTTTAAATAATCCATATCACATATTTGTTTCTGTAAATCATTTGTGGATTATGGCTCAAAAAATGTGCCAAATGCTCTGGATTTTGTTTTGCTCCACAGAAAACAACATAAACTGCTACCTTTTGAATGATTTTGATACTTTTGGCGAAAACCCCTTAAATGTTTTCACATAAGTTCTGCCACACTCATGAAAAACACGTTTATAACAATTAACATATCCCCATTGTGTATCTTATAGTGTACCGGTAAGTCTACTTGTTTCGGGGTGTTCATACCTTAGCAATAATTATGTATCAGTGCTTGTTGTGCTTATCCAAATGCACAAAAGTAGGATAACTGCTAAATATGAATATCATGTTTATCCTACACTAAGCCCAGGGTGACAATACATTATCTCTGACTAGAACAGGTATGTGCTTATTGTTGGATAAATACGGTAATCATTGTATTTTTGCTTGGTACCAAAATTATGATAATTGCTAAATATGAATATCGTGTTTATCCTACACTAAGCCCAGGGTGACAATACATTATCTCTGACTCGACCAGGTACGTGCTTATTGTAGGATAAATACGGTAATCATTGTATTATTGCTTGGTACCAAAATTATGATAATTGCTAAATATGTATATCATGTTTATCCTACACTTAGCCCAGGGTGACAATACATTATCTCTGACCCGAACAGGTATGTACTAACTGCTTATTGTAGGATAAATACGGTAATCATTGTATTATTGCTTGATACCAAAATTATGATAATTGCTAAATATGTATAGCATGTTTATCCTACACTAAGCCCAGGGTGACAAACATTATCTCTGACTCGAGCAGGTACAGACTTTTTTGTCAGATAAATACGGTAATCATTGTATTGCTGCATAGTATAGATATATAACTAGCACTAAATCATGATAAGTTGATGCCAAGGTTTAAGATATGAGTGCACTAATAATATGTAACTACATGTATATGTTAAGAGGATTTCAAATCACTTTCTACAATATCAATCAGTCTTTTAAAATCTCTGGTTGGGAGCAAACTCAAGTTGGTAGCTAGTGCACTGGAGTTAACAGGAAATGATGTTAACTCCAGTTCACTAGCTAGTGCACTGGAGTTCACATCCTTGTGTACTTTTAGTGTATTTAGTGCACTGGAGTTAACTACAGTGCACAAGTTAATTTTCTTTATCATATTATGTCTGGCATTTTCATCAGTTAATTCAATTCAGTAATGGACAATGTCATTTTGAGACCACCCTTTCCTGGTTCAGTGGTCAACTCTATCGAAGCATACAAAGATATATATACATTTATCCGATAACCGTAATAGGTTTCATCGCTCAGAGCCCTTGAGTTATCTGTTCAATGATCTCAAAGTGTAAACTTATAAGGCACTGTTTACCAATGTCCTATTAATGTCTGTTATCTGTTGTACATGTCGTTACCATTTGTTCATCTAGATCTCGTGCATTGTATTTGTTGTTGTATTGGCCAGATACTGAATTAAATGCATTTACTCAGAGAAAAAAATGTTTATTACGGGTAAGTTTTTTTAATAAAATCTCCGACGAATATTTATTTCATATAATCTAATTGAAATGCTAATGGTCGTTTTTCAACATTTTCAATTGAAACTGCAGCTACAGAGGGCTGAAATGATACATATTTCGCAAGTAATACGTTCAACCTTTAGAAAAGAATGGATACACAGAATATAAGATAAGGTTACAGCTGAGAAATTAATTCCTTGAATTAAATCTTACCTTTGTAGAAACACATTGTGTTTTATATACAAAGTATTAGTTATTAATAACTTGTCTGTCACTTTCAGTTTAAATAAATCTGCGTGATGAAATTTCACTGAAATTTTGTTTCACCTTTTATCACCTACCGTGGATGGAATATATAGTAAGCTGATCATGATTTAATGAACACAAAATGCCAATTACTCACAGAATTGAAATGTTAAATAGTATCGAATAGTTTGTCATTTAACTTGGAACGTTTTCTGTTGGCAAGAAATATAAAAAGATTTTCAGATTTTTTTATGATTATTTTCTTACGTGTGAAAAAGTGTTGATTTTACCCGCTTCAATCCGATTAATGCCAAGAGGCGTATGGTCATAAACAAGAAGACTGTGTTATAAACTATACATTGCCTTAAGCCATCTTTTCTGCTGCTGTCAACAGTAGTCTTGTGACCACTAGTTGTGACTAGATGAACTCTATCATATTATCCTAGATAATCCTCTTGTCATCTTCCACCTCCCTTCTATTGTCCAACACAGAAGTTCCGTTCTAATGCAGGTTCCATATTTCCTTTGATCCGTTTACGATTCCTTGGTGTTATTTATGCTATGATTTCATCCTTGTTCGTTTTCCTTCTAACTTTGACGTTGACAATCCCACACAGGTATCACACAATGCAGCTTTAAATGTACCGCTGGTATCTGTGAAAGTATATATATGTACTCTGTTGGTTCGAAGTCTTCGGATCACTTGGCATTACCGACTTGTGTGTTGTACAGCCTTACTTTTGTTTTCACAGATCTAGAGATGTTAGTTTTAAACTAGATTAATCTATCTCATGTCGGCAAGCATCTCTGTTGTTTTTCCTATTTTCATTTTGATGTTTTCATCTGTGCCTCCTGTGTTATTACCAGACTGCCGAGATACTTAAACCTCTATATTATCCTCCAATGAAATGATATAGAGTCTGTTGTTTTCTACCGTTGGTTATCATCACCATTGTTTTCTTGTTTAGTCCTACGCTTATAGCTTGCTTTTGAAAATCTTTCGTATGCTCTCTTAAATGTATGAAGTTCTTATGCCTTTTTCCTTTGCCTTTGTTGATGTTATTTACCCAGTAAACTGCGATGTAAAGAGGTGTTTCCAGGTAGTGCTTCACCCCTGAAGTCACCGTGAACTATAGTGAGTTCTAGCTCCTGTTTCTGACAACTTTACCACAAGTCTTTTTTCTCCTCTCCTCTGGGACAGCCCCGTTCCTTCATATCTTGTCTATATGCACATGAAGAAATATAAGTACATGATCTTTCATTTCTAAATCTTCTAAGCTCAAGTTATCAACAGTTCTGTCTTCTATGTTTATAAAAACACCACCAGCCGTTTTCTCCTCTCTGGGATAGCTCTGCCCATTTATATTTGTCTTAACCGGACAAGTGTGTCTGCATATACCATACTTCTGCTTTTAGGTCATCTGCTGGAGCCCAAAAAAAAAATTCTCAAAATCTAAAAGCATTATTGAAGTTGTTGCATCCCTCTTGTTTCACTATCCAATGGTGAGTATTAGCACAAATATATGGTAACAGCATGTTCATCAGGTTCTATCACTTGTTCTGTCTTTAAAATCTCATCCAGCTACCGTAAAATAATGAATGTAAGTAATGGTGAATTCGGTGTACTGCGTGATTAAGGGCGCAGGGAATTTTATGAGAAAAAAATATGCGACCCTGTTTATGCTGCAGAAAGGGATGACGTGACGGGTGGCATTATTTTTTTCAGAATAATAACGTATAATCTTTTCCCTAGCAACAACAGAATACAAAAATGAATTATAGGAGAATCTCCGTTTCGTTTCCCATATCTTTCAAAGGGCCCGAGTATCTGCAACGTTCCCTTCTTCTACTTCTAGGGCAATTGCTAGAATTCTATCTGCTCCTGTTGATATCCATGTATTTTGTAAAGTGCTGCTATGGTATCATTGATGTTTATATCCAGCAATGACGATCAACATCATTGTGTGATTAGGTTATTCCTGCTGGGAACTTAATTGAAATGCCATGCCAATCTACTAAATTGTTCCTCTGTACTAATTAGTGAGGGTGTTTCCATCAGTGGCTTTTACCGGACCAGAAGTGTTCAGGTTTCTTTTCCATAAAGGTATAAAAGGAATTTCATCCTACCGTGTACAAATTGTGTTGCCATATGACTTTAGCTATAGTGTATACTTACGGAAAACCTTATACAATCTCAGGTTTACGAAGACATAAAAAAATAAACATTCGGTGTTGTATAGCTTTTTATTTTTACGGGGTCTTCTTCTTTCTCGTACGGGGTCAATTTGATGTTTATGCCCTCGAAACAGGTTTAAATTTCCAGTGTTTCGCGATTTATCTCCTGGATCTTGTACGCTAGGTTAAAAATTCTCATATTTTAAGAGAACGCGAAAATTGCTATAATGAAACCTCCATGAAATAGAAAAGCTGTACAGTAGCCAATAACTTCAGATACATCTGGACAAACGAGATATTTAAAGTGTTATGTACCTTAAGAATCAATATTGTGTAAATATACCTGAAGATGAAATGCAACGGAAGCAGCACTTCTGAGAGTAAACATTTGATGTCATAGATTGCTACTTCTCGTATAGAACACTCATGGCTCGTCCTTTACTGAGTATGCTGCACACATTTTAACAGGCAAAAAGTACAAAACGTTACTCCGTACGTATGCCCTTTGATAATAGATTCGTGTGAGGATTCATGATATACAAGAGGTTTTTGAAAGTGGTGTGTCAAACAACACAACAAAAAACATTGTCTCATATTAAAAGCCTTGTACCAAAGGTTTTAAAGTTATATTTCATCATATATACACAATGTTGCTCTCAATGCCATTATTATTAGTACTGCTAACACACTTTATTCCAATGTATTACCATACCATAAGGAAACATGGAATCCAAATCATTACTTCTAATGTTTTATATCTCAACACTAACACGTGGACTAGAACTAGAGGTGCCCCAGTTCCTACACAACTTTTGTTTGTCTAGTACGGGGTATATGTCTATCAGTGAGATCGGTTCGAATGGCTGTGCACGACGTTGCGGTATGGAATCTGGGTGCAAATTGTTCACATACAACATAGCACATCACAGATGTCTACTTAACGAAGACGATGCCAACACGGCTTCGGGACAATTTAACGCCTGTCCCGGGTATATACCGTAAGCCTTTCTTTTCAAAAGGGAATACGGATACAGACGGAAATTCGATGCTCAGTATTATTCATATTAATATTTGCCTAATTTCCAAAACTACCTTGGCATTTAACTGACCTCGCGTCTCATCTGCTCTCGCATGAGTGAACAATGGGACCCAATCCCAGCAAAGTTGTATAATGTACCTCAGTATTGGCATCTGTATCCATCCGTGTCGAGAACTATTATTTGCAAAGTAAGCAATTGTCGACGTCCGACATTATTTGGCCATCTCGATTGTGTATATATATCCCCCAGAACTTGAAATCTAGGACCTTTTTTTATACTATTCAGCATCAGCCGATTAATTTAATCTGTCCAATAGGGTAGGCTTTCTAATAAGATTGACGGCAAGCGTGACTTTATCGATTGTTCCGTCTGTGAGCTTTTCCTTTCTTGATAGCACTATCCCAACTTCCCTAACCCACTATTTGTACATCTCGCAGTATGGTTTTTGCTCAAGTTACATACCAAGTATTATAAGAAGGAAATAATAATAAGATAAAAAATGAACTATAATTTAAACCCTTTTGGTTGCAACTGAAATACCAAAGCAGTATTAACATTATCGAAGACAACCCTTTCTGTTTCCTCAATATTTCAATAGGACTTTGATGGGCCCGTGCAGTGACTATGACTGTCCAGATTACACCATGTGTGTCCGTCTGTACTTTATAACACGGGTTTGTGTTGTATCAGCTAAAACGTTTTTATTATCGATGTTTTTGCGTTTGGTTTGCTTCCTTGAAAATTGAATTTACACGGATTATAATTTCGCGATCTAGACGTTTGAAGGAACTAGTTTTTCGCGGTGTTTTAGCACTGAGACGGGACACTGTTTTTTTTTTAAAGATTGAAAAAGGCGTAACAGGTCCATGCTGATGTTCCCGAAATGATAAGGATGCTCATGTTCAATTATACAGACATTTGTCGCTTCGAAGTATAAAGCAATGGAAAATAAAATGCGAATATATTTCCCAATTTTTCGAACTTAAAGGAACAATATTTTATATTTAATGTAATGACAGCTATCGTATATCGGAAGTGCTAAAAAAGAAAATTTTAACCTAAGACGCTTTACAGACGACAATGCGCGGTTTTTGAACGCACGAGGAAGATATTTAAGCAATGAATGTTTTAGCAAATGTTGTTATGGTCCTATAACACACATTGCTATTGATGACAAACTTAGTTAAGCCCAGTAGGGCTTTTTATTAGTTTGTCAGCAATAGAAATGTATGTTAAAGGACCATAACACTATTTGCTAAAATATCTATTCTTTATATTTTCATTTTGATGAGCAGTTATGCTTTATTTAGTTATTTCGAACAGTTCTTTTAACAATAATTGTGTTATTGTCTACTGGTAAACTTTTGCTGCCGTTTCATTTTCGTCTCTTTTATTGCCCCCCGTAATGAAGGCGATTTTAGCATTACAGCGAACATTAGTATTCAATATAAGATATATAGAAATTAAATAAGGAGGGCTAATTTAAAATTGGGCGAAAATAAATTATACGTCGAAGGGCGAAAATTTGACTGGGAGAAAATTTCCCGGTAAACAGTAGTGATATCACACATTTTGGTGAAATGCAAATGAGCTTACTATTAGTTGTTGTTTGATATTTTTATTTGTTCTTAGATTGTGGAAGCCCTCCAGGTGTTCCTCATACCATCGTTTCAAGCGGTGACACAACCATAGGATCTAACCGGGTATATATACGTGCTCGTTCGTAACTACCGATTCCGGTTACATTACATGCCAAGAGGACGGAATTTGGTCTACACCATCATTGGTATGCACACCAGGTACATGTAAATAAAATTCTAGTGTAGCGCCTGTCGGGAATGTGGTCTGAGACCATGGGGAAGTCGGATCTTCCGGCGTCGGGCACCGTGGCCTCGGTCCTATAAACAGGATATTGTTAAATTATGAAAGTTATTAACGAGTATTTTGCATTCAATCAAAAGTCACATCTTGGGGCAGAGGAGGCCGGGTATTACTATCAGTACTACTTGTTTCCGTGCGATTTGAGTAAGAAGCATCTTCATTATGTTTTTGTTTTTCAGGCAAACCTAATTATTTACAATTATCCAAAAAGTATCATGCAATTCTTTGGACATTTCTAGTTGTATATTTACACAACTAGTATCAGACATGGACATTCCCAGGTGGGTATCAGGTCCTGATGACGTTCGTCACATTCAATTGAAACTTCTCATGTAGAAGACACATGACTCTGTAATTTCCTGGCCAACGTAATGCATCTATCCAGAAGGCTACGATATTTAGAACAGACGCTAGAGTGGTAAATTAGCTCGGACATATTAACTATTAAACGTAATCCTGACCTTTTTGATTGGCTCAAACTTTCAGACTGTCATCGTAACGAACATGTACAATGTCCGCACCACGGCGACTGAAGCTCCTGCAGGTACTACGATTTCCTACGTACAGTCGAACATGTATTAAGAGACCGCCTTTGGGAAATTGTCAAAGTGGTCTCTTAAAGGGGGTGGTCTCTTAATAGAGTAAGGGTTCTATAGTCTCACAAAGAAAAGAAAAACACAAACACAAAACATCAATATATACAATGTCATTTAATCACAGATGCACATTTCAATTTACATTACAATATCCATATATTCAATTAAGTGTTTTTTCTCTCTAAAAATCAGTTAAAGCAATTATAATATAAAATATAATCAATGCTTTGAGTAAACTCTATCAGTTCCAGCACAATCACGTGAAAAGTTATGGTTATAATATCAAAATCTTGAATTAAGAAAAATCTTTTCTAAATACCAGTTCAAGCACAATAATAATGTAAATAAAAACAATGCTTTGAATAAAATATATCAGTTCTAGCACAATTATATGAAACTTTATGGTTTTAAAATACATCAGTTACAGCACAAATATAATAATTATTCAAATGTGAAACATTTAAAATCCATTGTTGGAATGAATTAAAACTTAGCATACCATCACATCTATTAACATTGCACACATTATCACATTTTCTTTTATAGTTCATATAAAATGCCTTGAATCTGAGTTTTGCCAACACCTAATTTCTCAGCGATCTTGCTTGCTGATAACGAGTTCGATGTACTTAGTTAGATTACTTCCAATCGTTCCTCCGAAGTCAGAACTTTTCTGCTCACCATCTCGCTATCGTACTAGCGCAAAATCAGGGATTCGAAGTTTTTGTTTACAGCGACAACAACTCACTGTATGTAATTTATGCTACTATTGGTTTTACAGATCAGGTGGTTGATGCTGCAACACAGAGGGAGTATGTCCGTCCGTTCGTCAATCCGTCCGTCGTCCTTCCTTCCGTCCAAAAAGTTTGTCCGGGGCATATATTCTATACTTTTTCACCTAGAGTAACCAGATTTGCTGTACAAGGACATCTTAAGATGGTGGAGTGCAGCGTGAAGAATCAGGTCACTGTGACCTATGACTTGACCTTTGACCTTTACTTTTTAAAATATTTGTCCGGGGCATCTCCTCTATACTATTTCACCTGTAGTAGCCAAATTGGTGTACAATGACATCTTGGGATGGCGGAGTGCCGAGTGCAAGAATTAGGTCACTTTGGCTTATGATTTGACCTTTGACCTTAACTTTTGAAAAAAGTTTGTCCATGACATATCTTCTATACTATTTATTTCACCTGGAGTAACCAGATTTGGTGTATAGGGACATCTTGGGATGGCGAGCGCAAGAAGTAGGTCACTATGACCTCACTGTGACCTATGCTTTGAACAGTATAGGTACACCCTGACATAAGTGTAATGTTTGCTAAATATAGAAATTATTACCGGTGGGGGACTATATTTTGCCTTGCAATACTTTGACTATTTAGTTATTCATACAAAGTATTCGTTATAAGTCAGTTATCTGTCGCTTACGTTAATAGATCAGTGGAATGAGAGTTCATTGAATTTTGTTTTATTTTTTCATCATTTTCCGATAATATAATAGGCTGATCGCGATCCTGGTTGAGTTATATGACGCCTTTTTATTCATGGAGTCAGGTCGATTCGCCTACTTCTATATCTCTAAATGTAATGCAGTTTTCCTGTTGTCTTTTCCTCTGAGATAGTTTTGTCCCAGTATCTGCAGTTTTTCCTGTTGTCCTTTCCACTTGGTAGATAAAAGCACGTTTATCCTTTCCTTGTCTACAACAGGAATACATCAGTGATGTGTGGGGGAAAGCTTGGTTTCACATATATGTCAACTGGACTCCGATTATCTGCAAATTTCCTTCTTTTCTTCCTTAACGGCACCTGATCCTACTGTTATACCTCTATATTATAACATGCGGTCATGGTCTTATTGGTGTCTTTATCCAGTAATGACGAAATTCATTGTTGCCCTTAAGTTCCATCCGGGTCTAATCTTAGTTCAAAGTTGTTGTTCATCTGCATTCGTGGGTAAAACCTTTCCATCAACTGCTTTATACCGGATCAGCAGTGTTGGCGCTTCTTTTCCTTCGAGGATCCTCCTAATGTTTAAAAGAGAATGCCATGCTATTGTGTCAAAATTGTTTTGCCAATGACCTATGCTGTTGTATCGACACAAAAGCTTAAACAAGCTTTTTGCAAAGACATGAAAACGTAAACACTGCAAATGTGAGGCGAGGCTGTTTATTTTTACGTGTTAAAACTTTCGCGAATAAGTTCCCGGAATTTTTATGCTGGGTTTAAATTTCGCGTATTTTAAGAGAACGCAAAAACAGCAGTTATGCAATATCCACTAAACATAAGAGCTGCAAAGCAGACAATGAATTCAGATACGTCTGGACAAACGCGATATAGATAACAATATATTTAAGAATCAATATTTCAAAAAACACCCGAGGATGACATGCGACGGAAGCAGCACTTATAAGAGCAAACATTAGCTACTTCTCATATAAACCCCAATCGATCACTTCCGGTTCCTGTAATGAACATTTCTAACACCTTTCAAACAGACAGAAATACAAAACGGTGACGCATGACTGTTGATTACATATCCATGTGAAGATTTATATTAGCTTTTAAGTAAGGGATTTTAGCAACTGGTATAGCAAACAAAACAACAACAAAAGTGGTCTGACATTAAAAGCCCCGTGCTAACGATTGTAATATGATAATTCATCAATGTTTATTAGCAAACATACATATATATCAAAGGCCGAATTATTAATTATATACACACAGACCCATATTTCTACATCACCTGCTTCTCCTCACATCTCACTATTAACAGAACTGATACTTGTAACGCAAGTTTTACCTTTTGTCTGACTTTCCCACTTTACCATAAATCTTGGAATCATGCAATCAAATTCATTACTACTGATGTTTTATATCTCAACTCTAACACAAGGACTAGAACTAGAGGTGCCCCAGTTCCTACACAACTTTTGTTTGTCTAGTACGGGGTATATGTCTATCAGTGAGATCGGTCTGTATGGCTGTGCACGACGTTGCGGTATGTATTCCGGGTGCAAATCGTTCACATACAACATAGCACACCACAGATGTCTACTTAACGAAGACGATGCCAACACAGCTTCAGGACAATTTAACGCCTGTCCCGGGTTTATCTATGGAGACAGAGCCATGCTGATTTCGGTAAGTCAGTGATTCATGTAGACATTCAATCCTCAAAACTATTCAAATCAAGATTTGCGAGATTTCCAAAACAGCATTGGTGTTTAACGATATCAACATACGGTTTTCTTATACAGTTGGTGTAAAACTTTTTCTTTTATAATAATAATAATTCATTATTTCGACTGGTATTAAGGATTATTGCCTTGCATTAGAAGAAAAGCAAGACCCAGCAAAGTTGCCTAATTGAGGAGTCTAACGATTCGGTACATTTTGCTTACACATTTCAATCTGAATAAAGGATTGAAAATTTGGTCGTCTGCTTATTAAAAAACAGGTCGTCTTTAACTGTTAAAACTATCACTAAAATCACAAAGTAAGAAAGACCTATCAGTCGTATCGGTACATTTTGCTTACACATACGATACAAACAAATCTCGATTTTAAGCTTTAGTGATCACAGAAATTCAAAGATATGGTGAACTGCTGTCAAAAGGTCATCTGTATCTTTTGAATTCTCAATCTTTTTTCTATTTCGGTAAACGCAGAGATTTTTTCAAGCTTTTCAAAATATAAGATTGTATATAGAGTCTAATAGATGATATCTGTGATGGTCACAGTGATACTTTTTGAGTAGTGAATGTTCTTTACTCATTATTAATTGGAAATTAGCCAGTACTTCCACACTTTTTGAAATTCATGTAATTAAGAGGTTTCTTGCACCTACCTCTTCCGTTTCAAAAGAAATTTTAACAAATTTTGATTTCCAACATTTTGGCAACTAGTATTACCGATGTGTACAAACTGAAGATTTAATTGCATTCTGGATCTTTTACCATTTTTTGATAGGTGCAATCACGTGTGAGTATTTAACGTTCATCTTTAATTTTTCTTACTCAACTTAAACACCAAGAAAATGTGAGGCAGACATATCATTCATTATGGACAAAGAACGCCTTTGACGTATTTTTTTTAAACATTAAGGCTTCCTTAAGCAGGAACGAATGTTTAGTATTTTCCCATTGTTTTAATAGGATGTAACTTTGATGGGCCCGTGCAGTGACCATGACTGTCCATATTACACCACGTGTGTCCGTCTGTACTCTACATCTCGGGTTTGTGTTGCATCAGGTAAAACTGTTTTACCATTTATGTTTTTGTGTTTGTTTACTTCCTCGTTACAGAATATAATTTGTCATAATATGATTGTTTTTAAAGCCGGCTTCATAAATAACGTGCATTTTGTTGTGTCTCTATAATGTCATATAATGGTAACACTCTTTGATGTATCATCCGGTCAATTAGACTGTAAAACGGGACAATGTTACTTACGTTATTCGATAATTCCTAAAACAAGGAACAACAAGTGCAGTAGACAGATCCTACAACAGGATACGGTAGATATTACCTTATAACATAACCAACGTGACAACGAAGCTGTACGATAAGCGGGACGATTGTAAATTTCCCTAGCTTGATTGTAACACCTATAAATCCGGCCTGTTACATGTTGCAGTTGATTCGGTATTCAAGACATTGCTTCGAATATCATTATGTTTATGATAGGTGTTGACTGCTGACGGCGTAACCGCCAACACCTAGTTTCACAAAATGCAGGTTGATGACAACTACGGACAAGTTTTCTGGTCTCTTTTAGAATCTCATTGTGAAACATGTCAATTCTTTGTGAGATATTAAAGCCGATTTTTTTAGTGTGTTTATAATTGGGACATGCTATTTTGTTGTCACTACCTTCATCTCACTATGATGACCTGATATTACTTGCATTTGAACTAGTTTTACATGACGGATGTCAACAATGAAGCAGAAGACGCTTACCCTCCTGAAACACATGGTCGTACTGTCTTGTTTTTTAATATGGTAGCCGTGTAAATATTTGACTTCAGGATTCTGTATCTTTGTGATGGACAGGAGTCACAATGTTAATTAGGTCGTGAAAGGTTGTTTTGTTATACATTTGAAAATGTCTTGATGAGAATGGGGTAAACGTAACACATAACACACTTTATCCGTTCCAGTCTGTGGTCCTTTCGCGGGTGTTCTGCTTTCTTTGAAAAGTGACGACATATCCACGACCATGAGTGCAGTGGGTGTATCCCGAAACATTCAATGTGACACGGGCTACATAGGATACAAGACAGTCGTCTGTCTGGCCAACGGATTGTGGTCGGAGCTGGAAGACACATGTACAGGTGAAACAGAAATTTGTATTTTTCAAATTTTAATTATACGATGCTCTCATTTGTAAAGTCGTTCCGGTTACATTGTAGCGATGATAGTGAGGGGAAAAGCAAATGATACGTGTTGTCATATGCTAGATGTGTTATGAATACAACATATTTTGTGGTTTGGATAGCCAATAACAAAACTTGGTAAGAGGTTACCAATTACAAAATACCACAATAAACTTTTCTTTGTGTGTGATTAGGATGTCAGAATAATCAAATGCAATCGAATTACACATATAGGCTTTGAATTTGTTTGATCACACTCTAGCGATTATTATGACGTCTATGATCCTTATTATTTAAATGGGAAGCGGATACCTGTGCTGTGTGCCTTCGGCCTAGTATTAAAGGGAGGTAGCGCTCTATCATCAGTATTTAATTACACGAAAATATTGCCGCCAGAGGCACTTCCTTATTTACCCTTAGCGTTTGGTAAACCCCTAAACCCGGTAACCGAAACCAAACTAAACCAGAATTATTATAACTGCAATATTCGGACATTATAACAGATTTGGTCAGACGTATGATTGTAACAGACAAATGATGTGCTAGTCTTTGTAGAAGATCTTAGTTATGTGTCCTTTCATTGAGGACACCGATGAAGCAAACATTTGATCTAAAATGTAAACTTTATTTATTTTACAACAATTATGACACAAGTTAGCTCAATTTACATTAATCACTAATGTGTGAGAAAAACGGAGTTCTCAGAGAAAACTCGCGTAATCTCGACCACCCAATTATAAAAATAAACGTCTATCAGAAGGTTTGACGTAACAATCTCTTGCGTTTATTTACGTTCACCACAAAATTGCTTTTGGAGTTTACACTTCTGATATAAAAAATGATTTATCGGTGTCACATATTTTAACCCATGTAAATTGTTCCCTCATTAATATCGGAACATATATAAGCCAGACTTTTCAATCAGGTATTTGTTTTATTAAAATTTATCTATATATGCAGTTAACACAGATAATCTGAAACATCCGTCATTGTTTTGTTCTGGATTCCAATCTCACTGATGATTGATATTTTTTTCTTTCTTAGATTGTGGAAACCCACCAAGTGTTGATAATGCTGTCGTTTCAAGCGGTGACACAACCATAGGATCGAACAGGGTATATGAATGTCTTCCAACGACTACCGCTTCCGGTTCCGGTGACATTACATGTCAACAGGATGGAACTTGGTCCACATCCTCATTGGTATGCGTACTAGGTAAATATAAGTATTAAATTATGAATATAGTCCCTTTCCACAGTATGGTCGGAAATGCTTCTAAACGTTTGACATCAGTGACCAGTCTAAGCTCTCGGTGCCAGGGTAACGCTGTCTCTGTGTTAAATACAGAAGGTGACCAAACACAAGTCTGCGTCATATTTTAAAATATCAGTGTCACTCTTCGTATGTAAACTTTATTCTTTTACAACAAATATAAAACATCTTATCACAACTTATCTTAATCACTCGTATTGTCCCGACTGGAAGCCCTCAGGGATTGTATCGTGGGAAGAAACCGGAGTACCCGGCGAAAACCCATGTGGTCGGACAGGCGAAGCAATACATTTTCACGTCCGATTGGGGAGTCGAATCCCGGGCGTTTGTTTTTGTGAAAGGCGAATGCCCTATCAGTGCGCCAGCCGACCACCAATTTGAAACACAGTCTTAACAAAAACTTTTGTAAATGGCAATACTCGTATTCAACATAATGTAAAATCAATTAAATGTGATTATTGTAATTGCTATATTTAATTATGTAAGTTCAGCAGAAATAAATCACAATTTTGATGTTTTTCACATGTGTCCCTATCAGTATTTGTTACCGTACATTCTTTTTTTTAAATATACACGTGTTAGCTTCTATTAACAGTTTTCCATCATCATGCATAAATTGACAATGTATCAAATCGACATAAATATTGCTATCTACAGTTTGTATTTTAGATTTTTGCACATAATTTTGCATCCTTTGACATTTATGATGTATTGAAGGAAACATTGTAGAAGAGTGAAAGGAGTAAAACGCTGGTTGTTTAAATAGCACACCGAAAAAATTGGAACTGTTAATCGGCCCTTCCAACAAAGCATCAACCCCACCCATCCACCGACACACGCACACACACACTGAAAACATCCGTATCAATCCTGTATTTCTGAAGCCTTAAGAAATTTTTTTTGCATTACCTTGATTGTGTTGTGGAATTTTACAGGTGGGTAAAGGATCGTGATGATGATTGTCACATTTCTTGAATGTAGATTGAAAGCTCTCATGTAGAACACCCTGACACCCTGGGTCTGTTGGTCCTTTACATCACAAAGGTTACACTCAATCTATATTGCCATCTGGGCCATTATAACTGCAGAGTATCAGGATGAGGTTGGTATATGGCCGCAAGCCATTTTAAAAACTTGACAGATGAAGTATCTTTAAGTCTGGAAAGCTCATTTTGGGTTTAAAATGGAGAATACTTCAGTTAAAAAATAACTTTTTTGGAATTCTTCTTCGCGATAAAAATTCATGCAACATTACTTTTAAACTTGATAAATTGTTTTAAATACTAATTAAGGAAATACCTGTTTGAAAATGTATCACGTCGATGTCGAAAGTCAAACAAAATAAGCATTTACTGCACCAATCAAACAAACAAAGTTTTACTGCACCAATTAAACGAAGTAAGCAAATACTGCACCCATCAAACTGAGTCAGCGTCTTTTCTATAGCCATCTGCATCCACCTTTCACCGTGGAAATCAAATCTTGTGGTAAAACATAAAATATCTGGTTACCTGTATTATATCTATTTGTTACAGATTTATAATCATACATTCCTAGTCAACCACTTGATAAGGAAACACGGGAATGTGAACATTTTTATTTAAGTAATTCAGATCAGACTTATTGCTATTTCAGAATCGGTGTTTTTCTTATTGGATCCTTTTGGCACTATTTAAAACTGTAAGTACGCATTTGCTACTGTTGTTCAGATATGTCTTCAGCTATGATAAATCTTTCTGAAAATAAAACCAAACCTGGTGAGACTTTTTATGAAAAAAATAATGATGAAATAAATAACAATTATAATTAGCAGCAGTGTTTTGAATGTAACGATATCAGTGGGAGTATACCGGGATACCAACCCTGGACTTGTTATACTAATGCTCTAACCGACTACCTCGTTAATGGAACTGTCCTGGCCCATCTTAGCCACAGCTATATCCAAACGAAATTTGATATCAACAATTGTTGGTTTTTTTAAATTTTGCATCACGCTAGGTTTGTTATTCACTAGAAACCAATACACAATATCTAACATTTTTTAAACCAGAGTTTTAACAAAAGATAAGTAACGTACTGAGATATACATAACGCACATTGTAGGAATCATATACTCTTGCCGAAAGAAAAATTCATTGATTTATGGCTCTTACCTAAGCACCTTTAATGGATTTGGTGATCACAAACGGCAAGCTAGGAAGTTGAAGTAGGTATATGCGGAATCAAAATTTACATTGATTGCTTTTCAAAGGAACAGATTTTTTGTTGAAGTATGTAAAGTTTTCTATTCATAGCATTTTAGAGGGCGTTCCCTGTGATATATCTGGTATAATTCAGAGTGCCATAATTAAGGAACGGATGAACTCAGCATTTCATTATGTCCTGTGTGTTAGGGCCAATCAAACTTACGTGATTTTAAATAGCTACCATTTCTTTACGAACTGTCCACTTAGGTAGGACACGCTGTGCGCAGAATTTACAAAACGAGCATAGACGTTTTCATTCAAAGGAGTCAAAAAGAAAAAACGTACGGGCGTGTCATCAATATCATATGAAATACATAACAGTAAATGAATATATGTTAATCCCACCACATACACAACGCAAAATAACACCCCTCACCCTCAAATAATATATATAAAGATAACCAAACCAAGACCACAAATATCCCCAAGAGACAAACAAATAATCACAAAGTAATGTTGAGACAAAACTGATAAAATAATCAACATTGTTTCTATATGATCTTATATGATTTGAATGTTTACATGGTTACGAAACACAGATTGCGTTATTTTAAAAACTTTATCAATTTTATCATCAGCGATGTAAATTAAATATATGTAGTATTACATCTAGTTATTTAAATGAAGATCAAAATTTAGTCAATCCATGCTCCTGGGATAACGTCATTCTACTGTCTGTTTTATCAAAATTGTATCTCTATGATTGATACGTTTTGTGACTCTGTTGTTTACATCAAAACACAATCCTGTGCAACTCTATAAGTAAAAATCCTAATATTAACTCACCAGAGAAGTAGCATTAGTATTTCTCTTTCTTGAAAATGCATTTTTATTGTATTTTTGTTTTGTTTAATTCAATACGTCTGTTTTTGCTAATGATTCGAAAATTCAACAATTAATAATAATAGCTTAACTCTTTTAATATGTAAGACGGAAGAGGTTCTAATGTTCAAGTTGATGATAACAAGTTTTTATATTTTATTCAGGTTGTGGACAGCCATCAATACATCAAGGAGTCACTAGCTATATAATGACATACTCTGATAAAGCGTCATTACAGCGAGTGTAAATGACATCCCATTTTCAAAATGTTGGTTAACAGTTTCCGATTTCGTTTCTTTCGTGTGAAAATTTGAAGAAAAAACATCATATTTTGTTATTCTGTGGATTTTCTCATCTTCATATTTTTGGTCGACTACATGTGTGAGCCGTGCCCTAGGCGATCATCCTGTTTATAGAATTAGTTAACAACTGTATCATACGGCCAAGATATTTTTCTATATATCTGTGAGAATCCAATGCTGAACATGCTGATCATGCTGTGATTTCCTTATAAATGTTAAATGTTAGAGTGATAATCACCGAATGACTCACCAACACAACACCCGACATATAAATCTTGGTAAAAAAACCCACCAAACTCACGTCCTTAAAATGAGGACCGGGATAGACAACAAAACTACAAGTCATACTAATGAGCTAAATCGAAAACGCCATCCATACCGCAGAAGGAAACATATCATTTTAAAATAAGATTATGAAGGTGGCTAAAAAGATTGGTTAAAGTCTTTATCAAAGTGCATCTCCCGAAAGCTTGCATTTTAAGTTTGTCCGTCAGCAATCGACATCTTTTCATTAAATTTGATATTTGGATCAAGTCTTTGATAGCAAATCAGCTGCGACGTGTTAACAACGTAGGAGGGGGAAGCAGAGACGTTACATTCAAGAAAGAGAAAGTTCACGATCGGAGAATCGAAATCGCTACGTTTACCATACAGCTTAGTAGTAAGCCGTATCATGTTGTAAGTAAAGGTCGAGGTCAGAGGCTGATACAGGGCCATTGATATAAGGTTGTTATCTAAGGACAAGTCACAAATATATCTGAAAGTAAAATTGAAGGATTGAGCAAGGTCTTGTTTGCCTTCAAATTATGAAAACGGCACACGTCGGTTAAGAGAGCATGCTATTAATATGCTGCATAAATGAACCGCCGACGTTAAGAAATTTTCAACCAGGGGTTCAATAATTCTCAATTTTTTATCCTCGGTATACCTCATGTTGCTTCTTGTCGTGATTTTCACAAAATATGATCAAAATGTTTTTCGAAGATAGATATTCAAAATTGATTAAAAGCTTTTCATTGGAGGTATTCTAATCCACCCCCATCAGCTCCAACATACGACTGTAACCCTGATTTAATGGTACTAAAATGATAGTTTAGAAGATTGGAATATTGTTTGAGCAACTAGAAAATTCCTGCGACGTTTTGCAATCGAATACAAAAGTAGCAGTCTAAGTTACAGAGCCAGTTTGCTAAAATAATAAAATAAAGTCATTGCAAATCATTGTCATTTGAACATTTTTACTTTACACTCAACGGCTTTATAAAGGTTTTCCTACAAGCAAATATTTCTGTAACAGCTTATGATCATATCCACCAAGGTCTCGCCCACACGGCGTAGAGCTTTCGGCACATTTATATTAATCATATTTAGCCCATTTCCCATCCCTTAAGCGAGCTTAGGCCCAGTTATAATTGCTTTGTGTGTGCCCCTTTCACAAAAACAACCTTCCATGGAAGAACTTTTCAAAAACACTTTTTTTAAGCCAAAGAACAGTTTATACACTCACCATATTGTAAGTAACACAACATGTTGCGATTCAGAAAACAGCAGGGGGTTAGCTTCATGTTTGTTCTGCTGTTGTAAAACTTGAAGAGTGTAACTATAGTTACCAAAACAAAAGTACGGAAGTTGTGTATTGATTAAACATGAACATTTAATTGCTCTATTCAATTTCACTTTTTGTGCTTTTAAAAAACAATGCAAATATATAGATGCTTAGAAACTTTTCATATTTAGCAAATGTCTAACAAAGCAGACAGTAATCTGTATGTTGTGTGAACTAAAATGGTATATCTAAAGGGCTGTTTAACTATGACATAAAAAAGTAAATGTATCGATCCCGGAGTATTATCGTCTATTACTTCACATACGATAACAACAGCTAATAGCATGAGTGTGTAATTGGCTTGGCATTCCAGTTTGTTTCATAACAAGAATTCCCCGGAAGTGGATGTGTCGCCTGCGCAGGAAGCATGGAGATTACGAAGAAATACATACACTTTTCATTTCAAGAAATAATGTTAAAAGTAAGCAATAATCATAGATTATGTTTTTGGATGGCATCATTTTGTTATATAATCTGTTATTCTGGGAAGAATTCTCGGAGTTTTAAGGAACTTGCTATGGATACTGATTGTCTCAATTCCAAGTTTAATTTGTATGATTTGTCGGATGGTTTCCCAAAAATAAATGAATAAACTTGTGGATTAAGATGTTAAACAGCTAGTGTTGTCAATAACATTTGGAGTAAGACGGCATTTCAGAGGTATACACGGTGGATCAAGTGGTAGATCGAAGCCGTCCAGTATACAGTTTTAGTGAAGTTTCTATTTATAGTAACAGTGACCTTGACCTTTGACCTTCGAACCTGAAAAGCAATCCCAAGCAAGCACTTTAAGCAAGAAAGCACTGCAGGAAGTTTGAGTTCGATCGGCCAAAGGAAACTCAAGTTATCGCACGAAAACAGATTTTCTATTTATAGTTACAGTGACCTCGACCTTTGACCTTCGGACCTGAAAAACTATCCCAAGCAAGCATTTTTGGTAAGGAAGCACTGAATGAAGTTTGAGTTTGATCGGCCCAAGGAAACTTCAATTAATCGCACGAAAACCTCTGTTCGGACGACGCCGACAAAGCAATACCTATATATGTGTCACCAGCTTTTCGCAGGCGACACAAAAATCGGCCGATCGAAGTACAGTTGTACTGCAATTATGCATTGATGTAGCTGTGCGTTTCACTTTGAATGCTGAGGGCGGACAGAATCAATACCATATAATACATCCGTCAATATTTAACAGTAGAATAAAAAAAAAATCACGAAAATTACCATTTTGATATCTGCACGTCTTAAATTCATGTTGCGTGAAACACTCAACGAAGTCATTAAATTAATAGTTTTCGAAAAGAAAAAATAAACCGGCGACACCATAAAAATACCAACGCAAACCTGAAGTCGATACCAAATGACAAGGAGACATCTGCATCTAGACAAGGAAACACTTCTCGAACCTTTACAAAATAAATTAATAGGAAACCGTTTAGTCGTTTTTTCCGGCACTATTTGGGAAACATAATGATGCATCGAAAAGTATGAAGGTCAGCACAACGACTTAAAACACCATTAACGCGTCTATAACCCCGTGCTAGAAACAAAGCTATCCAGTTATGTTAACAACTGTAAGATATTGAAGGCCACCCGATTAGGTATCCTGTCTACGCTGTATGTAGAGGCGCGCGTTAGCCTATGGATCATCCAGCGAATCCTGATACGAAGAACATGTTCTGGATTAGCAAATCAGCAATGACAAGGATGTTCAGACTGCAGGAAAAAAAAATTAACGGTGATGAATTCAATGTCGTTACGTTTCTCAAAGAGTTTGGTTGTAAGATGACCATTGCTGTCATAGTGTTGGTAAATATATCAAGATATGACTTTGAATTTTTGGCATCTTTTATTTCAATTTTCGGATGAATAAATTGTGTCTCCAAAATCAAGGTTTACCAATAACATCAATTTATACATACAATTTAGAAAATGATGTTAAATAATTGTTTCTAAGTTCTGACAACCCCCTTCCCTCAAAATAGGCAGCATATTTTCGAGATGTGAATGATTGGAATCCCATCATTTGCCATCCCTACTCATATGGTGGCAATATTTCCCTCTTGAGCTACTTTTTTTTTTTTTTTTTTGAGTTTGTTTAAAAAGTAGTTTATTGATGTCAATAAACATGTACAATTACATAGACATTTCATTCTGATGATTGGGAAACAAGTACTATTGTACTTATACATAGTCCTTCTCGTCGTTTATAACAAGCTTTGCTGATAATACATGCGTAACTTTGCAGTGATAGCCTAAATATGTACATAAGAAACTGTTAAGAACGAAAGATAGAACATGATATTAGGGTATGGAAAGTAACTGATGGAGTTTGGGGAAACTCTGTAAGAATGTTTTGCTGCTTTGTCCTACCACAATTACCAACAGGGGACTGCCGCACGGAACGGATAACACAATACGTTTATACATGTTTGCTCAACAGAGCCTTCTCCTGTATTGATAGGGTTTTGCTTACCAACAGGGGCAATATCTCTGCTGATGATTTGAATATTTTTCCAAAATTGATTGCTTCATTTGAATGTTCATATAGCAACACTTTTACCAATCTAAAAAAAATCTTGAAGTTGTGTCACAGCCAAGCAATTCAAGCAAAACCAAAATATGTTTATCACCAACAAAATAAAGCAATCACTCAAGCTAATATGTGCCATCACCAACTAAAACTGTAACTTTGTTCTGTGAACTCTCAGTAACCTGTACCACAGTCATCAAGTGAGCATCCCTCTCAGCATGTTCTAGTTCTACCATATAGTGACCACCTTCAACTAATTGAAGATTTTGTCACGAAGTTTGGTTTATGCAGCACAAATGACAGACTATATACATTACATAATAATTAATAATTAATCACTTAGTTAAAGTTAAGAGAAGGAAACCTTAGTTCGAGGAATATAATTAATCACTTAGTTAAAGTTAAGAGAAGGAAACCTTAGTTCGAGGAATATAATTAATCACTTAGTTAAAGTTAAGAGAAGGAAAATTTAGTTCCGAGGAGAGTCTGAGAGAGATGTCCGAGCAAGCCAGTGATTGGGCAGCCCCCACCTACAAAGCTTGTTTAGTTGTGCATCCTTCTAAAACGAGATTGCTTCTAAGGGGATATATAAATCTGTGTTTATTGCATGAATTAAGCAGAACTTGTTCGCTTGGATTGATGACCATGTTTCCAGTGAATTTGTCGTTGAACAAATGTCCCTTATTCACATTAAATGTGCAAGGTCCTTGGTACTTGAATCAACAATCGTGAGAAGTTGTTTTAGTATGTATTAAATATACAAAATACTGAATGTCGGCAAAAAGTCAACTCATCCACTGGATTATCTCTTTTAACAAATCACATCAATATGGAATTTCCTTCCATCCGTTGGATTGCAATTTGTTTCAGGTAGAGCCTTTTCGGGTGTATTTTCCCTGGACTATACAAATATATTCATATAAAGGCAGACGTTTGGTTCTACAAATAATAAACACGAAATTCTGGTAATATTTGATTTTATTACAAATAAACAAAGCAGTGATCACAAGTTGTATGGTGATGATTATCAAATCAGTTCTACATACAGGTACATGTACCATCTATTCCGTCTTTGAGTATTGCAGAGTTATCTTCTCTTGGGGGGAGGTATTGATTTTTACGTCACTTGTTTGTGAGAGAAAAGTCATCAATTTTTGAGAAAACGACGTAATTTTCTCACACAGACCAATGACGTAACAATCAATACCTGCTCCCAAGAGAAGATAACTCTGCAATACGCAAAGACAGAATAGTACTATTGTATTTTCATAAACCACCCTTCCATTACGTTTTCATTTTATTTGTGTTTCTAACTATACCACTTGCCACTCGGGTTGATTACAGCATCGCTGCTGATGGTTATCCTCTGAACACTGTTAGAATATTATGTTTAGCACCATCTTGAATACAAATTTATTGACACCAGACTTGTAAACCTGCATCTATCACTTAATTCATGGGGAGAATCCATTAGGCAAAATATTAATTAGTAATTAGCCAAAATAGTTACATACAATAACACCTATTTGACAAAACCAATTGTGTAAAATAGCATGTAGTTATGTGCAATGAATTATTGTGGAGTAAAAAAAAAGTAAGATGAAGATCATGCTTCTTGATTTTAAAAGTAAAACATGTGCAAGAAAAATCTTTCCTCTCGTCTCCCTCCAGGATATATAGAGAGACATTACTTAACTGGCTTCAATGCAGGCAGCGAAAGTAAATCAAATTTTTCAATCTTTCCCATGTTTGGTTACTGTTGTTAATGAAATGTAGCGGAACGGGACTTTGTCGATCACCGGTGACCTGGTAATTCAATGAGTAGAGCGTCCGTCTAGAGTTTGGAGGGTCCCTGGTTCGAATCCCGGTCTGGCTATGCATTTCTGTTTCTCCTACCAGTATTACATTGAACACCCAATGACTTTATAATGCTACTCTATGGAAAAGATTTATATTGTACACTAGATTATTAACACTACAAAATAATATAACTGTTGTCCTAATTACACTATAAGGTAAAAAGTATTAACAGAGGGACTATATCATTCAGTCAGACAATAAAAATTCCACTAAATATAGATAAGTAATGTGTTTATCATTGGTAATACATGTACCTGGTATAACAATAAAACCTTTTTCTACTGACCGCAAAATAGACTGAATTTTTTCAGCCAGTGAAAACCGGTTTCAATGTATATAATAATTGTTAATTGCATAAGGTGTAAAATTTTAAATACTACTGCAACGAAACCAAACTTTACCAACTTCAAAGGGACACAATAATTGGGTTGGACAAGACAGTACCTCAGGTTATTCAGATTTTCAATGTATATATGCAAGGTACACAACATGTACTTCAACGAAAACCTGATTTACCGACCTCAAAAAGGACCAAATCATTCAGTCAGACAAAACAGAGTGTTGGTTAAGTCAAGTTCCATTGTGCATAATCATAATATTATCATAAAATTAGGATGCATAATCCTATTAATTTAAGGTGTAAAGCATTATTACACATCAACATAGGAACTTAAACATTCTGTCGACATACAGTCATGTGTAAAATCAGGTTTCAATATATATATACAAGGTGTATAACATAAATACTACAAAGAAACTTCTCTTAACTCTTTAAAATGGCTACAAAATTCCGTTGGACAAGGCAGTGTATCAGTAAAATCAGTTTTCAATGTTTATAAGGTGTATAAGCATATAATACAAGGGAACCTGTTTTTAGCAACCTCAAAATGGATTGAAATATTCAGATAAGGCGACTGTTGGTCTAGTTTCAGTGCATATAACTATATAAGGTGTATACATTAAAATGATACATGTGTATGTAAGGTGTATACCAATAAAGTTATTATAAAGGTGTATTACAATAAAGTTATTTATTTACATTACGCTCCGCACTAGAAAAACCAGTGTTCCAATTAAAAGGAGATATCCCTAAATTCTACCAGAGAATTTGACAAGTGTACATGTCTGACTGATCTCTACCACAAAACATGTGGACAAATTAATAACAATTGATTTTTTTTTATGTTTTTTGTTGATGAGATACAATGGTGAGCACAGCAAGTGTGTGCAGGGTAAACCTATATGTATGTAACATTCAGGTTGTATTGTACCAAATGTACACATTAATATATCTTTATGATGAAATATCCATCCACTGGTCAAACTATTTCATACATATCTGTGAACATGTCATAGCAAAGTTGCTGTAAAAAAACAATTACATTCTATTTTGGCAAGTTGATAAGATGACAACATAAGTCTAGCAAAATGTAGATTGTCTCACCTGTTCTGAGAATTTGATTGGTTATTTAAAACTTCGTTCATCATTTCATGACCTCACCAAAATAGAAAGTTTATCCTTAAAGCACTATAACATGTAATCCAGTAACATCGCAATATAAAATTTCTAGCAAATTTAACATATTCATGTGATATGTTACAATTTCACAAACAAAGCTACATTTCAGAACAAACTTACACCTTTGTCAAACTACAGACACATGACCTAGCACACATACTTCATGATGATCAAATGCTAAAACGGCCTGCCATATACTGCAGTGGTATTGTTTTATGTCAATCGTTTCACGAGGTAACATGGTTTTATATTGGCTCGGAGAAAACCAAAATCTGTGATTGACTGATCAATACTAATGCAGCCTTAAATAGAACAATTTTTCAGAACTAACTGACATAAACTTTTAACATTGAAAATTGGCTGGATATTTTATTTAGATTCTTGAAATGTTAAATGAGATAGACCTATGCTTGCATTGTCTTGACTGAAAATCAAAACCGAAATAACTGACACTGGGTGTTTTTTCAAGATATAAAAAATTGAAATTAATCACAACAGGTTTTGCATAGAATACAAGTAGCCAACACTGAAACTGTATCTGTTTAGTAAAAGTTTAAATGTACAGTAGATGTCCTGTGTCACGGCTATGTAGGTGTAATCTGTAATGGTTAATAATAAATGTTAATTATACAGACACTAGAATCCTAAATATGTACAAAAATTGAAGATCCTAACTGGGTAAAATGTAACATAAAGACTACGACATAAAAAGGATATCAGTGTGATTGAACCCCAAATTCTGACCAGCAGCTGGACCAACCAAGCTCACAACGCGCGTTAAATTAAACTGAAATCCTTACCAGCATTAGATAACGACCTTGACAACATTAGATAACGACCTTGAAAACATTAGATAATGACCTTGACAAGAGTTCTATTGAGCAATGCTTTTATGAAAGTAAAAACTTAAAATACTGACAACACATATATAACCACCTGTTCTTGAATTGACTTGCCCAATCCCTTTTTTTATCTGAGCAAGACTACTATAATTACATGATAGATTGAGATAAGTATTAGTAGTTGCTTTCCTCAAGTCTGATTGTTTTTCAAATTTAGGGGGAGGGTCAATCAGTTCAAACACCTGTGACAGAGACGATGATCCAATCCGATGTACATTGATTTTGAACATTGATATTTCTGCAATAATGTTGAAAAGCACAAAACATATTTGCATTTATGTGGAAAACGCAAAATTGCTCAGAATTCATTTTCCTGTTTCTGATTATTTTAAGATTCACATCATCATGAATATTTAAAAGCAAAATGCTCCTACAAAAAGGATCTTGTATACAGTATTGTACTGTTGCACATAGTAAGTATATACATAAATATTGTACTTAGGAGCCAATATTTACCACTCTTTGCAAAAAAATGTTTTTTATAGTATCATTTGTTGATCAATATATAATATGACTAGCGGTTCTTAGAATACAAATATAAAAATTGGGTATAAAATGTTTTTAACAAAACAATGAGTTTGGCAGGTTTCACACATTCTAAACCCCTCACTTGGCAGTGTAGTTCTCCAGGGCTCGGCGGAACACAGCTATTGAAAACTTAGCATCTTCCATTGAAAGGCACATTGGCGGTTTGATTCTCAGCACCTGCATGAAATTCAAATAAGTCACTTCATAATTTTACAAATATCTTATTTTTTCATGATGACAGTTTTGATAAAGATTGATTTACCTGCAACAATGAAGCGGACATGTTTCCTCAGCCTTATCCAAACACCACTTTCAGTTGTCCTACCGAACACACGTTCAACTTTCTCTCAGAGTGTTATACAGACAATAACTGTTTTTTAACTGCAATTTCTGACATCACTCTAGATAATATGTGTGAGCACCCCAACAAACTTACAATATTAAACATATCATCCCTAATCACATCCCCGCATAGTAACTGTAGACACATGCTCTCCTTTACCATCACATCCCCTAAATTACTCACTGATTCCGCTCAGATTCCCAAAATCCTAAGCATAGAAAGCCAGGTAACCCCAATCAGGTCCCCCACAGCCTTATAATAGGTAGTAAATGTAAAAACATTCCCCTTTCCTGGTCAGGTTTCTAAAAATCTCAGCATAGAATGCATTTTACTTCACTTATGGTCCCTACCACACTCACAATGATAAGCATACCATCCCGCCACCCCTACCCTGATTGCCAATTTCGTCCCCCCATTACTTACCGTTGAATACACCCCTCCCTTGCCAATGAGGACACCCATATCCTTCATATCCTCCCATACACTGTTGACGTCCTCTGCAGGCAGTGGTGTTTTCGTTGCCTACAATCATCATGAATAATAACCTCAAGCGAAAATGTTTTTGAACTAAGGAAAAATTTAAAGAACAATTCAATGGTGAATATCAAGAAGCAAAATGGTTGAACATCAATTTTTGTCATATTCAATGACAGTAAGATCAAAAGTGTTGTGGCTTTGTTTGAAGTATAAAAGAAGTTGTGAATTTTCCATTGAAACCACAAGTGTTACAAACCAAAAATCTGTTACCTGAACAGTAAAAATATAACACTTTTTCAATTAATGAATTACAACACAGCAGAACCTTGCTTATAGATGATATATTCAGGCCTTGTGTTAATATATTCCGACTCAAAGTGAGCTGTCATGAGATTCTGTCATGTTGTCCGCGTTCAGTTGGAGTTCATTGATAAGCTATTAGCTGGGACTCTGTATGCTACATACAATGTAATATCCGAGGTGTTAATCACCAGAGTTGCAACAGATTTTCAATTTAATACTGACATTGTGTCTATAACCCCCTTGATTGACTTTTGCAATCAGTGCACGTTCACAGTCAAGCAAGTAGTTTATTCGAATATTTTAGAGTGATCATTTAATTGGAGTCAATTTACCCTTTCACCACTGGTAGAATGGACTCGTCGAGATCAATGCATGGTTGAGTCTACTAAAGTTATATAGGGGTGAAAGGGTTAAAAGTAAACATATGTGAATATTTACTTCTCAATTTGTTTTCTATATACCTACGGAGGCACAAGTGAAAGCCACTTAAATTGTTTTTAAGAAGAATTATCCTGTTTGAATTCAAAGAAATCCTATCTAGGCTCCTATACAGCTTATTACCATTAAAGACGGTATTTTGATAGGCATATACAGACAGTAAAATGACCTTGGTACTCAGAAGTCTAATTATTTTATCGAAGTATTTTTAATTTATGTATAGAGGATCTTGCATGAGTGTCCATGTCATATTTAATTTATTACATGAGTTCAATAACTTGATACAACATCAGCCTTTAGGGGAGTGTCATATACAATTATTGAACAAGTGAAGGTTTTATTACATGTTTGTAATACCATATATATGCCATGGGCTGTATGACATAGTAACAATTTGTCAGTTATGTGATAAGTATGTTTAAGAAATACTAGAAAACAGTAAGGGCTCATCTTTAATCAATAATTTTCTACAAAATCATCTACATCAGAAAATAAACAATTCGTTTACCTTGTCCTGTACCAACTCCACACCTATCATGAGACCTTTTCCTCGAACATCTCCCACAATCTCAAAGTCATCACGTAACTTCTCAAGTTCTGAGAGGAAGTAGGTACCGACAACATGGGCGTTGTTCTGGATCCCTTCCTCCTCGATTACCTAGACAACAAATAAAATCAATGATTTAATAATGAGATACACAAGTCTTAGAAAATGATTTATGATTGTAACACTACTTCCTCCTTTGAACTAATGTCTTTGATATGGAGTTGTAACACAACTGTTCTATACACTACCGGTAGTTACTCATACAAATTTTGTTTTTAATTAAGAATCCCACACATTCAGCTTGGTTGAAATCCCTTTATCCATATTAAAGGAGTAGAAATACCTTCAAATCCCAATTGAGCAACGGCTTTCTGCCCCAAGGGGGACTGAACCCTCCATTTAAAATCCCATTAGAATAGGATTTTGAACATTTCACCTCTGATTCTTCTATTGGATCCCAATTCTCAGTCCAAAAGGAATTCACATTCCTTGTTCATACAAAATTGAGTCCCCTTTGCCCCGAAAGACATTTCAGTCAAAATTTGGGTAGAGTCCCTTTATCTACACTGAAGGAGTAAGATTTTATTTTTATTTCCCCTACTGGGACCAACCCCTACTTACAAGGTGCCACACCCTCTATTTATACAACATTGAGTCCCTTTGTACCATTACAATTCTCCAGAAAAAAATTCAGTGGAAATCTACACAGCTCTTGGAATAAAGGTGGACGACGCATGTTGCTCCACAGAAAAAACTCCAGTAAACTAAAAATTGAAACTTCATCTTACATCAAGTACTGAGGATCCCACAGCACAGGAGAGAGGATTGCCTCCATAGGTGTTGAAGTGGAGAGCTTTGCCCATACTGTTGGCAACCTCTGGTGTGGTTACCACAGCAGCCAATGGGAATCCGTTACCCATACCCTTTGCCATAGTCACTGCAAGGTGAGATAATAGGAAATTTCACCATAAAGTTATCGCAAAGGGAGTTTATATAATTGTAGTCTTGTAATGAAGGTACTGTAAAGGGATAACTGTCTCAATTGTACTATAAAGGGGAGATAAATTGTACAAACTCTATCCCTATAAAGCTATAATGTAAAGGAGATAACAGGTGATATCATAAAAAAGAGAGAAAATAAGAAATATTACTATTAAATTTCTGTCATTATGCAATATTCACAAATTATAAATATCCACACCTTTTATTGGAATCCTAAATTGTATAGGTGTGAGCATTTCAAAAGACATTCAAATGCATTTGTACTGTATATTTTTAGAAATATAAGGACATTTTTTTTATGAGAATTGAAAGAGAACTAACATCAACTGCACCATGGAATCACTCTTGTCATTTTTTTTTTTACCAAACTTCAATTTAAAACAAGCCCTGTCACATTCCACAGATGTTCAAACTACATTATATAATCATTATCTAGATATAAAAACATGAAACTGTAAAATTCTTTTATTAGTAGTATGTCACTTGAACATTAAGATCTTAATTTAATGGAGCAAAATAGACGTTTATAATATCATATAAGTTGAAGGCAACAAAAAAACACCATAACCAATTTACCCTACATCCGACATTACATCTTTGCTCTCAAAACACAAGTCTGAAAAAGACTCTAACCTATATCTGGTACGACGTCATGTCCCTCAAATCCCCAGAAGTGAGTTCCTGTCCTTCCAAAGCCTGTTTGAACCTGCAGTTAAAACAAAGAGAGAAATACTTGTATTTATGTTTCTCTCCTCTAAGTGCTAACTAGTATGTGCTTAAAATGATGCAACAAAGCCCACATTCATGCGACTATCTCACATTTTGGTATAGGGAGCACAAACAAACACTCTAGGTTGGGTGTACATATAGGAAAAACTGGAATATTCTTGAACCTATTCATCACAAGTATCTTATACAGGTAAGTTATAGAAGAAAGATACATTTATAACAGGAGTATTTTTAATCTGCCATAATGTCATAGGTGAGTACATGTACATACAATACATGTATACCTTTAGCTAATACAAGGTCAGTTGAGTACCGGAGTGTAGTTCACTAAGGTTTGTAATAGTTTAAACACCGAAACTGTTTTGGTACCTGTGTGGGGGCTTGTGTCTTTAATTGACTAATAATTCCTTCCTAAATGACATTGTGTGTATGGTTAAGTCTATCCTGGTATAATATAAGGACAGTATGCAAGTTCACTAAATGTATCTACCAATACATGTACCTGTATATTATCATTTATTTATCATTCTAACACGATTCGTTTGCAACGCGTGTTTTGATTGGATACGGACCATGTTCTAATCTGCGATAGAATCATGATCAATCGTGTTAAGCTCCTCCCATCGCACTTAAGCCACGCCCCATTTCTAACCAAAACAATATGGCGTCAAGCTCGCCTCATAGCGAAATCCCGCTGATACAGGCTAGAAGGCAACAGAACAGAAACGACTGATGAAATGCATTTGTTTAATGAATTAAAAAGTAAAAGTAACACATTCCTTGCTCTTGCCTCCATTTATTACTGAAACGTTCGTTCCATCCGTGTGAAGGCATCTATTTAGATCCGAAATCAAATTAAACATTTCACATGTGTCGTATGCATTTACACAAAACTCTTCACAAATCTATACAAATAATCACCGATTTTGTCGATCAGCACAGATTGGTATGCATACTGACATGTACATGTATGAACTTGTTCAATAGGAAACCGAATGTAAACTTTGGTAATAAGGACGTTCACGAACAATCCAAATATTCCGCCTCGTCAACATACAGATCGAGCTCTCGCCAGTATGGGCGGGGCTAAATGACCGACTTTTGAAAGTTTCTTTCCAATTGGTCAGTCCGCTGCAGAATGACACGTCGCCAGTTCAGCTCACAAAGTACTTTCGTACAAGGAAATACAATGTTTCTAAACATATTACGTAGTATATTTGTTAAGGTGTGTTAGATTGGGGATAGTACGTTGTTTTTCGTGTCTATACTGGCGATTAGAACATGAAATTTGGTTTAAACTCTCGACCTATCGGTCCCGAGTTCAAACCCAAATTTCATGTTCTAATCGCCAGTATAGCACTCAAAACAACGTACTATCCCCTAAATAAATCACAATTTGAAAAATATGAGATATTTTATACAAAGCAAACTAGGGTTAGCTCCCTTATTTCATAGATGGAAAAATAACTACAAGATAATACAGAGCAAAGCAGTATCACTAGATCTTATAACAAATAAGATATCTTTTGAAAAGCCATTTGTATATAAGTTATCTTATACACACAAAAGATATAAGCATACAAGGTAGAGATCTTAAGCATAAGTATTTGTTATATAATATATATGTTATATAGTAAAATATCTTTTATCACATAATGATCTGTGTTATCCAGTGAATATACCCATGTAATATTCTTTTGCATATTAACTCATGCAATATGACCTATCAGCCCTGTGATTGGTTGCAAGTTTCAATTGTTTCGATTATGACGTCACGCTAGGACAAGTACATGACGTCACAGACTTACCCACTGAAGTCAAAATGGAGGCTTTTTACATTTCAAGGTTACATGAAAATTGTTGTTTTACACGAATAAATGCCACAAATCTTGTTATGTGATAAAATGATCTTACACTCGTTTTCATTTCATATGAAATTTATGAAACTTGACACGAAATTTTCATTTAAGCTCGCCTAAGGCTCGCGAGGCTCGCTAAATTGAAAAGTTCTTAAGACTCGTTTCATAAATTTTATATGAAATGAAAACTCATCCTATATAAAGTTATCCAACTTAACACAGGATTGACATTGCTCCTTGAATAAATGTTCACTTGCCATACACTAGTTTGTTCAGTTTAGATTTTTATCTCTATGGGAATATCACGCAGAAATATCATTAAATGAATTCTACTTTTTTTTTTTATCAAATATCACATTTGGACCAAAATATCCAGTCCATCATAGTCAGTCTCACCTCGTCAGATATACACAGACCTCCATGTTCCCGTATTTTCTCAAATGCTCGCTTCAGGAAATTCTTAGGAAACTGGACAGTCCCTCCAACTCCCTACAAGTAAACACGACATGTCAACAAGGCAATACAAACCTTACATAAAACTCTATGCCAATCGTATAGAGAAGGACCTCCAAAATTAAGGGATCAGTTTCAAAGCATTAACAAGTTTTCTAGGAACAAACATGACCAATTACTCTACAAAACTATGCAGTAACATACTGACAGAGGTGCTTAAACGATAGTTTAGTTTAGACATTGTTATAGTGATTCAGTTTAGCTACATTTGTATAGGCTACAATGTTTACAGGAATTCCAATAAAAACTTCTTGATAATTATCCAAACAAAATTCATGACATTTTATGTCATTTACAGTGTGTTGAATGTATAAAACATGTTTATCATTCTGTCTTTGCTGTCTCCAGCACCCGTTTTGAGAGACAATCTCCTATGCAGCCCCCAGCACCCTTTTTGAGAGACAACCCCTTCTGCAGCCCCAAATATCCGTCCTGAGAGACAATCCCCTCTGCAACCCCCAGCATCTGTTGTCACAGACGATCCCCTCTGCAGCCCCCTTCACTTGTTGTAAGAGACAATGCCCTCTGCAGCCCCATGCACCCTTTTTGAGAGACAATCCCCTCTGCAGCCCCAAACACCCAATCTGAGAGACAATCCCCTCTGCAGCCCCCGATACCTGTTCTAAGAGACAATTCCCTATGCAGCCCCCAACACCTGTTCTGAGAGAAAATCCCCTCTGCAGCCCTAAGCACCTGTTCTGAGAGACAGTCCCCTCTGCAGCCCCCAGCACCTGTTCTAAGAAACAATCCCCTCTACAGCCCCCAGCAACTGTTCTGAGAGACAATCCCCTCTGCAGCCCCCAGCACCTGTTCTGAGAGACATTCCCCTCTTCAGCCCCCAGCACCTGTTCAGAGACAGTCCCATCTGCAGCCCCCAGCACCTGTTCAGAGAGACAGTCCCCTCTACAGCCCCCAGCACCTGTTCTATGAAACAATCCCCTCTACAGCCCCCAGCAACTGTTCTGAGAGACAATCCCCTCTACTGCCCCCAGCACCTTTTCTGAGAGACAGTCCCCTCTACAGCTCCCAGCAACCGTTCTGAGAGACAGTCCCCTCTACAGCCCCCAGCACCCGTTCTAAGAGACAGTCCCTCTGCAGCCCCCAGCACCTGTTTTGAGATACTTCCTTTCCTAATGTCGCTAGCATTATTTCTAAAGAGATGATCCCTTCCACTTTCTCATAGCTCTCCTGTTATCAGAGCCAACATTATACACTTATTGCCCTGGTGTTAGGGAGACCTGAAGAGTTGTTTCCCCCCAAGATAAATCATGTTTCTAGAGGGTGAAGCCCAAGGGAAACATGATTTGTCGAGGGGGAACAACTCTTCAGGTCTCCCTCACACCAGGGCAATAACTGTTTTATTATTCCAAAATTCCATCTTTGGAGTCTGTGTTATTTAAAACACATCAACATTAGGCAATGCAATGAGCCCCTGTGTTAAATTGCCAATGTTGTGACTGTTCGCCCTTAATTCACTAGGTCTGGTAGCATATATATACTACAAATACCTATCACTGTCAGTGTTTTGGTTTTATATCAAATTAAACAATGACAGTCCTTCAAGTTCTTCAGCTATTGGAAGGTGGAATCTCCAGTTCGCAGCCATTGTTGATGATGTCGTCCGTAACACATCGGGCGTTAGAGAGTCTATTAATAGACAAAGAGAGACAACTCGTCCGATATTGTTTGAGGGGTTCGGAGAGGGATACTCGACAGGGAAAATGGGTTGCGTGAGGGAGACTCGATGTTTTATAATCCTGACATGTGATGTGTTTAAACCAATCAGACACGCTGTAAAATCGATGAGGAATAATAATACCTGTTTCCGTACAAGACAGAGACTTTCATCAGTTATAAAATGACATTTTATAACATCATTAAACTTACCTGAATGGATTCTGCAAAGAAAGCCCCCACTTTGCCTTTGGGCATTGAGAATCTCAGGACATCCTCCAGCTGTTCAAGGTAGCGGTCACCTGCTTCACACTGACCCTCAGCACAGTCACATGACCTCTGAACCTGCAAACACAGCCAGGAAATTGAAGGTCACATATCCTTCATGCTGTCTCTCAGCAAACTTGGACATTGACAGAGACTAATTACATGACACTTAGAATTTATTTTTAAAGTACCTTCAACAAAGCCAGGAAACAAAATTAAAAGTTTGAATAGCCTTCGGTGAAGGCCATGTACTGTTTCATAGAACTGACCTCAGGGTTTTAGCTAAGAGTATCACTTGGTACATTCACTCAATTTTAGTAAGAGGGATATTCAACTCATCCGAGTTTAAGTTAGGTGTATTCAGCTCTCAGGAGTTTGTTTTGATACTTGTTTTAGATTATTCATTTCAAAATCAGCATATAAGTGCACCTACTTGACAGGAAGAAGTGTGTCCCACCCCTTAGAAGTCAGGGCTATTGTTTTGAAACACGCATTACACTCACCTGACAGGGGGAATCCCTACACCGTGCTCCTCCCCAGGGTCCTCGGTAGGGGTCAGGGTTCATTGTCTATAATCAAACAAGATCACTTTTCATAAAAGAAAAAAATGTTTGTTATAATCCTTTTTATGTAGAGTATAATTTAAAGTGGTCCGTATTCTAGGTCATATTAGAGAAAGGAAACAAGAGGCCCTATAGGCCTGCATCGCTCACCTGTTATTAATCTCACACTTGTAACCTAAAAGTTATCTAAAATAAAGCTACAGACAAAATATCAGTATTGATGACTAAAGTCATTCAAAACAATCTGTTCAAAGATTTTAAATCTAATGACCCCTGTGACCTTGATTTTTGAACAAGGTCATTACGTTATAGCCTTTCATTTCAGCATGCAACTTGCCAAATATCACCACCCTAGACCTTTTGTTTAATGAGATTAGGTCATTTACATATCTGACCAAATGTGACCTTGACAGTGGGTCAAGGTCATTTAAATGACTTGATAGCCCTTCATCTAAATATCAACATTCTGGGCCTCATAGTTATTCAGAAGAAGTCGTTTAAAGATTTTGAACAAATATGACCCCGGCACCTTGAATATAAGTCAAGGTCATTCATTTGAACAAACTCGGTAGCCCTTCATCAAGGCATGCTAATGGCAAAATATCATCATTCTGGGCTGCATGGTTATTCAGAGGATGTCGTTTAAAGATTTTAAATATATTTGACCCCTGTGACCTTGAATATGGGTAAAGGTGATTCATTTGAACAAATTTGATAGCCCTTCCTTCCAGCATGCAACCAGCCAAATATCATCCCCCTAGGCCTTTTGGTTGTTTAGAAGATGTTGTTTAAAGGTTGTTTAAGACAATTTACTTGTGAACTTGAATATGAGTGAGGTCATTCATTTGACCAAACTTGGTAGCCCTTTATCCCAGCATGCTACTGGCAAAATATCATCACCCTCAGCCTTTTGATTATTAAAAAGAAATTGTTAAAAGTCAAATATTGACGCCGGACACCGCGCCACGGCATTAGCTCACTTTGCCTTTCGGGCCAGGTGAGCTAAAAATCAAGTTACCTGTTGCATGCCAAACCCTGAGGGAACATTATAACGCCAGGTGTTCAGGGCGGTCAGACCCATCAGATATGGACTGGCACCATGGTAACAGTTTCTGTAAACATAAATAAATATTGCATTTATTTGAAATTATAAAGGATATCATCACTTGTGAAATATATAAAGATATTTATCTTATATGCATTACTTTTATGTACAGATAATTATGATACATACATTTAAAGAATTACCATAATATGGTAATGTAGTAAATGCATATATGATATATGTTTGTCAATATGTTAAACTATGTAATTCTTAAATTGTGTGAAATGCGACTGAAACTGCTTTGCTCAATTTATCGTTCCCTTTCATTTGATTCAGACACACCTGTTATGATAATTACACACACCCTACAGTAACTAGGAGATCATTTGACAACAGGATGTAGATTTTAAGTTTTGAGTGAGTTTGGACTTGAACAAGGGAGTTTTGAGGGAAATTGGTAAATTTTGATCGAACTGAGGTAGTCTCCCTCCTTATGAGGGAGAGTTGTCAGCTATGCTTAATACGGCGTATTGAGAATTATATAGTTTACAATAATGACAATGTATTTCTGAAAGAATGAAGGAATTCCACACTTTATGTTCCTCTGTAGTTAACTCACCTGAGAGATCTATGTATGTCCCTCTGTCGTTAACTCACCTGAGATTTCTATGTATGTCCCTATGTAGTTAACTCACCTTAGAGATCTATGTATGCCTCTCTGTAGTTAACTCCCCTGAGAGATCTATGAATATCCCGGCCCTCTTTTGTTAACTTACCTGAGATATCTATGTATGTCCCTCTGTAGTTAACTCACCTGAGAGATCTATGCATATCCCGGCCCTCTTTTGTTAACTTACCTGAGATATCTATGTATGTCCCTCTGTAGTTAACTCACCTGAGAGATTTATAAATGTCCCTCTATAATTAATTCACCTTAGAGATCTATGTATGTCTCTCTGTAGTTAACTCACCTGAGAGATCTATGTATGTCCCTCTGTAGTTAACTTACCTTAGATATCTATGTATGTCCCTCTGTAGTTAACTCACCTGAGAGATCTATGTATGTCTCTCTGTAGTTAACTTACCTTAGATATCTATGTATGTCCCTCTGCAGTTAACTCACCTGAGAGATCTATGTATGTCCCTCTGTAGTTAACTCACCTGAGAGACAGGATGTCGTAAGATCCTGTGTACATTCTTGACATGAGAACTGCCATGTCGTTGGCTTCAGAACCACTGTTTGTAAAATAACACACCTGGAACATAAAAAACATAGTTAGGATACCAGTAATCAATAAGAATGTATTAGTATTTACCAGTTGATGATATAAAACGTGACCTTTATGATAGTATTGACCTAAACACCTGTAACAGCTTACCTTGAGGTTACCTGGCAGTGTAGACGTGAGCTTCTCAGCATACTCATGGATGGTTGGGTGGAGGTAGATATTGGTTGTGTGCCACAGTTTCCCCAGCTGTTCCTCAGCCCTCTTCCTCACAGTCCTAAACAAAGTCAACCATCACACTTCTTTGTAACCTTTTGCCTATACATGTACTACATATATGACTAAAGACTTTGGTAAAATGTTATGTCTGTTCTTCAGACCTGTGACCTAGAACATGTTCATGCACCTGTGAACCTTTGACCTCAAACCCCTTATTAATGTGACCTTGAATATTTTTATTTCAAATTCCTTACTAATGTGACTTTGAACTTTTGATCTTCATCCCCTTCTTAACATGGCCTTGACTTCTCTATTTCTAATCCCTTGCTAACGTGACCTTGAATCTTTCTCTTTGCCACTTTAATCATGTGATTTGAACATTTGATCTCTACCCTTTTGCTAATTCATATGACCTTGAACATTACATCTCTACTGCTTTTCTAATGTGACCTTGAACTTTTGATCCCTACATCTTTACTTATATTGTGACCTTGTAACTTTGATTTCCATGTCTTTATTAATATGACCTTGAACCTTTGATCTCTGTCTCTTTGCTTAAAACCTGACCTTGCACCTCTAATAACCATCCCTTTACTTATTTGACCTTTTGGCCTTTTATCTCTATCAATTAATCATTTTGACCCTTAAAATATATCCTAAAACTATATCTTTATAGATGATCTTTAACGTTTCTTTTAACTCCCATCATACATACGGATGACAATGGCCGACACTAACAGTGACGATTCCTCCGAACAGGTCGAGGTAACGGGTACCGTCCACATCCCACAGCCACTGCATGTGTCCTTGGTGAACCAGCAGGGGTTTCTTGTAATAGGTGAACAGGGCGGGGTTAAGGTTGTCACTCCTCACCTGCTTCACCTTAGACAACTCCATACCCTACAGGTACACAAACAACCAATAACTAAAGGAAACATCCGACATGCCCTACAGGTACAGAAACATTGGATATACTCTATACGTGTAGGTACAGAAACATCCCTCATCTAAGAAAAACATCAAACATATCCTTTAGAAACATCAAATGCTTAAATAACACCTCATACTAGAGTGTTCCATATTTCTTTGTAGTAAAACCAACTGATCACTTCTTTCTATACTTACCGAGAATATCATAATATAGTGGGACATTTGACACAGTGTGGTTGAGATATCTTTCAGACCAAAAACAGGAATGTTTGACATATTGAGATAATAATAGCTATGTTAGACTGCTTCATGGTATATGACCTTGTACTGACCTTGTAGGCATCTGGTTTGAAGTCACAGGGAGGCATCTGTGGTGCCAGTGAACTGGCCATGCCATGCTGACATGCCCCTGGGGAAGTGAAGACATCAGATTATAACATGTTTATGACAAAGATTAATCTTCATTGCAAAGTTTCCCTGCCATCTGTTCTCTAGTTAGATTATTTCACGAAAATACCTATCCTTCATCACATGTTTGATATTTTTTCAAATAGTTGTGTTTCATTTACCTGGGTACAAAGTGCAGGTGGCCTGTCATTAAACATGGATTCTAAAATCAAGGGGGTGGGGGTACAATCCCACAGGAACCTGAGAATTTGTAACAGCTATATTTGGACCTAAACTAAGGTGTTTATAGTAATTTTACATGTTTGGTGGGTTTAGATCAATTTTCGGCATAATGCCATCCCCAATGATGATAATATATTATCATCATCATAAGGAGTGGCATTTTTTACAAAAAATGTATCTACCCCCCCTCCGAACCTTAGTTACAGCAGTAACAAATTCTCAGGTTCCTGTACATGTGTACAATCCTACCAGCTAAACCATGGTACACAGATTTCATGTCAGGGCTCTAAGTCATAAAGTACATATTTGCTATATGATTGAATGTGTAAACATAGGTAAAGCTAGACAGAATTTTCGTCTTTAAAATTTCCCTATGAGGACACACTAGGTTTAAAATTTCCCTATGAGGACACACGTACTAGATATCAAATTTCCTTATGAGGACACACTAGATATAAAATTTCCCTATGAGGACACACTAGATATAAAATTTCCCTATGAGGATACGCTAGATATAAAATTTCCCTATGAGGACACACTAGATACAAAATTTCCCTATGAGGACACACTAGATATAAAATTTCCCTATGAGGATACACTAGATATATAATTTCCCTATGAGGAAAAACTAGATATAAAATTTCCCTATGAGGACACACTAGATATAAAATTTCCCTATGAGGAAAAACTAGATATAAAATTGCACATCCATAGCACTAGTATAATTCACAAATCTGCAAATTTACAATATATCACTCTAATCAAGCCAATTCTCTAAAATATATGTATTTATTATGTAACTAAGTTAAAATAATTCTATCATATACACATGTCCATATATTTCAATGAAGATATGTTAGCATTTTCTATTGAAACATAAAATTATCATATTCATTAATTTGGACATTTTTTTTTTTATCAAGCCATCAAAAGCTATATTCTGCAACATATATCAGAATATGAATGTGTAGGGTATGAAATTAATATTTATATAATATTTGTTACATGAATAAAGTAAATTAACATCAGAAATAAGTATACAGGTAAATATTCGAAACATTGTGTGAGAGTTACGGCCATTAATTTGTTGTGAACAAGTAAATATATGTGCAAAATCATGTTGTGTTTGTACTTTAAAGAATTTTATTTGAGTGTGTCTACCAGGATATATCTGTAAACTGACAACATGCTAACCTGTGGGAAAATTTCATCACACTTCTAACACACATTACTATTTTTTTCAAAATCATTCAGAGCTACCTGCACTATGTTGTTTGCTCTCATGCACAACGTTAAAACCAAGTTTGTAAAGAAAGTTAATGGTCTGTAAACAAAGATAACAATCTCACATAAATTACATAATCTGGTGAATTTATATATTTGCCATACACATAAACATTATTATACCGTGTCATCATCGTGACAAATCTGATGTTGGGGTTTGACTATGAGGTAGGGGTGGGTATATATGTTATACAAACATTGACCTAATGTTGAGGTCTGACTATGAGAGAGGGGTGGGTATATACATATCTTATACGAACAATGACCTAATGTTGAGATCTGACTATAAGGTAGGGGTGGGTACATATGTTATACAAACAATGACCTAATGTTGATATCTGACTATGAGGTAGGGGTGGGTAAACATGTTATACAAAAATTGACCTAATGTTGAGGTCTGACTATGAGGTAGGGGTGGGTATAGATGTTATACAAACATTGACCTAATGTTGAGGTCTGACTCTGAGGTAGGGGTGGGTAAACATGTTATACAAACATTGACCTAATGTTGAGGTCTGACTATGAGATAGGGGTGGGTATATACATATCTTATACAAACAATGACCTAATGTTGAGATCTGACTATGAGGTAGGGGTGGGTATATATGTTATACAAACAATGACCTAATGTTGAGGTCTGACTATGAGGAAGGGGTGGGTATAGATGTTATACAAACATTGACCTAATATTGAGGTCTGACTATGAGGTAGGGGTGGGGTCATATGTTATACAAACATTGACCTAATGTTGAGGTCTGTCTCGGTGGTAGGAGTGGGTAAACATGTTATACAAACATTGACCTAATGTTGAAGTCTGACTAAGAGGTAGGGGTGGGTTCATATGTTATACAAACATCTGACTCTGAGGTAGGGGTGGGTAAACATGTTATACAAAAATTGACCTAATGTTGAGGTCTGACTATGAGGGAGGGGTGGGTATAGATGTTATACAAACATTGACCTAATGTTGAGATCTGACTATGAGGCAGGGGTGGGTACATATATTATACAAACAATGACCTAATGTTGAGGTCTGACCATGAGATAGGGGTGGGTATATACATATGTTATACAAACATTGACCTAATGGTGAGGTCTGACTATGAGGTAGGGGTGGGTACATATATTATACAAACATTGACCTAATGTTGAGGTCTGGCTCTGAGGTAGGGGTGGGTAAACATGTTATACAAAAATTGACCTAATGTTGAGGTCTGACTATGAGAGAGGGGTGGGTATATACATATCTTATACAAACATTGACCTAATGTTGAGATCTGACTATGAGGTAGGGGTGGGGTATATATGTTATACAAACATTGACCTAATGTTGAGATCTGACTATGAGGTCATTGTTTGTATAAGATATGTATATACCCCCCACTATCTCATAGTCAGACCTCAACATTAGGTCTGACTATGAGATAGGGGTGGGTATAGATGTTATACAAGCATTGACCTAATGTTGAGATCTGACTATGAGGCAGGGGTGGGTACATATATTATACAAACAATGACCTAATGTTGAGGTCTGACTATGAGGTAGGGATGGGTACATATGTTATACAAACATTGACCTAATGGTGAGGTCTGACTATGAGGTAGGGGTGGGTACATATGTTATACAAACAATGACCTAATGTTGAGATCTGACTATGACGTAGGGGTGGGTACATATATTATACAAACATTGACCTAATGTTGAGGTTTGACTATGAGATAGGGGTGGGTATAGATGTTATACAAACATTGACCTAATGTTGAGATCTGACTATGAGGCAGGGGTGGGTACATATATTATACAAACAATGACCTAATGTTGAGGTCTGACCATGAGATAGGGGTGGGTATATACATATGTTATACAAACATTGACCTAATGTTGAAGTCTGACTCAGAGATAGGGGTGGGTATAGATGTTATACAAGCATTGACCTAATGTTGAGATCTGACTATGAGGTAGCGGTGGGTACATATGTTATACAAACAATGACCTAATGTTGAGGTCTGACTATGAGATAGTGGGGGGTATATACATATCTTATACAAACAATGACCTCATAGTCAGATCTCAACATTAGGTCATTGTTCGTATAAGATATGTATATACCCACCCCTATCTCATAGTCAGATCTCATCATTAGGTCAATGTTTGTATAACATATATACCCCACCCCTACCTCATAGTCAGATCTCAACATTAGGTCATTGTTTGGATAAGATATGTATATACCCACCCCTATCTCATAGTCAGACCTCAACATTAGGTCAATGTTTGTATAATATATGTACCCACCCCTACCTCATAGTCAGATCTCAACATTAGGTCAATGTTTGTATAAGATATGTATATACCCACCCCTATCTCATAGTCAGATCTCATCATTAGGTCAATGTTTGTATAACATATATACCCCACCCCTACCTCATAGTCAGATCTCAACATTAGGTCAATGCTTGTATAACATCTATACCCACCCCTATCTCATAGTCAAACCTCAACATTAGGTCAATGTTTGTATAACATATGCCCCCACCCCTACCTCTTAGTCAGACCTCAACATTAGGTCAATGTTTGTATAATATATGTACCCACCCCTACGTCATAGTCAGATCTCAACATTAGGTCATTGTTCGTATAAGATATGTATATACCCACCCCTATCTCATAGTCAGACCTAATGTTGAGGTCTGACTATGAGATAGTGGGGGGTATATACATATCTTATACAAACAATGACCTAATGTTGAGATCTGACTATGAGGTAGGGGTGGGTATAGATGTTATACAAACATTGACCTAATGTTGAAGTCTGACTAAGAGATAGGGGTGGGTATAGATGTTATACAAACACTGACCTAATGTTGAGGTCTGACTATGAGGTAGGGGTGGGTACATATGTTATACAATCATTGACCTAATGTTGATGTCTGACTATGAGGTAGGGATGGGTACATATGTTATACAATCATTGACCTAATGTTGAGGTCTGCCTTTGAGCTAGGGGTGGGTACATATGTTATTCAAACATTGACCTAATGTTAAGGTCTGACTATGAGGTACGGGTGGGTACATATGTTATTCAAACATTGACCTAATGCTGAAGTCTGACTAAGAGATAGGGGTGGGTATAGATGTTATACAAACATTGCCCTAATGTTGAGGTCTGAATAAGAGGTAGGGATGGGTACGTATGTTATACAAAAAATGACCTAATGTTGAGGTCTGAATAAGAGGTAGGGATGGGTACGTATGTTATACAAAAAATGACCTAATGTTGAGGTCTGAATAAGAGGTAGGGATGGGTACGTATGTTATACAAAAAATGACCTAATGTTGAGGTCTAACTATGAGGTAGGGATGGGTACGTATGTTATACAAACATTGTCCTAATGTTGAAGTCTGACTCAGAGATAGGGGTGGGTATAGATGTTATACAAACACTGACCTAATGTTGAGGCAAACATTGACCTAATGCTGAAGTCTGACTAAGAGATAGGGGAGGGTATAGATGTTATACAAACATTGTCCTAATGTTGAAGTCTGACTCAGAGATAGGGGTGGGTACAGATGTTATACAAACACTGACCTAATGTTGATGTCTGACTATGAGGTAGGGGTGGGAATAGATGTTATACAAACATTGTCCTAATGTTGAAGTCTGACTAAGAGATAGGGGAGGGTATAGATGTTATACAAACACTGACCTAATGTTGAGGCAAACATTGACCTAATGTTGAGGTCTGACTAAGAGGTAGGGGTGGGTATATATATGTTGTTTAATGACCTCATACCATAATTGGGCCTTGGTTAAAACACAGATGTTACAGATGCAGCTTTAGCTCTGTGACCTATATCGTTGCATGATAATGCATAACATCTATATAAAGTAGGGTTAGGATATGGTGTGTGGTTCTGCTGAGTTTTAGACTGCATCTTTGGGCTTGCTTTGGGAAGGGAAGCTGGGGATAGGGGCATTTAGGAACACTCTGCTCGACCTGACCTTTCTCCCCCCCCCCCCCCCCCCTCCATACCCCCACAGTAAAGGAACCTAAAGGAACCTTATTATCTGTCATCTTTCTATATACAGATCTAGTTTGCAGTCTGTATAACTATTACACATACAAATATGCCTCATGTATGACAGTTGTGAAAGGGAAACACAAAGTTTTATTTCACCATCATGCAGTTAACTCATTCACCCCGGAAATTTCATTATGAACTATTCCAACCTTTGAACTGGAAGAGCTCAAATGTGTCTTCAGGAGTGAATCAGTTATAATATAACACTATGAATTATGCATGTTAAAACCAATCACAAACTTTTTTGTGCTGGTCCTCATGTTACAAGATATATTATAGACTTACAATAGTGAGGGGGTATTTAATCGCTACATGGGGTGGTTAGCGGTGTGCTTGTAGTTGCCAGTATCTCATACTGTGAATGAGCTCTGATAACACACTCGTAGCTATAGTACAGGCCATGTCAACACATTTATCACATATGTGTGACCCAGATAATTGAACACTCACTGGCCTAAACAGCACCAACACACATAAAGTAGTGGCCTGCATCTGTTTGAAACCAAGTCGGCTTACTGCATGAATGTATTAATCTTGTTGAATAATGCACGTTTTTGTGTTGCAATGAAAAAAATATTTATATTTTAAACTCAAGAAAGTCATAGTGAAAATAAAAGTGTAATTGGCATACAAAGGACTGAGGAAACTATAGAGTTCATGTAAATAGGTACGTGTATGTTGACACCACAGCCAAAATGAGCCTATGTCCTTCATGCACTAACTTAGTCACTTTTACAAAGCACAATCTTTATAGAAAAAAAAGTGTAACTGTTATAGATATGCCGTGCTTCACAGCACTGATGATCTTAGCAAATCATATACGACAACACAGAGACGTATACGTATATAACACACGTCTCTGGACAACAGTCCTAGTTCAGCCTCAATCTATTAGGCCATGAGATCTAGATAGCAACACTGATTATCATAAAGGCCAGATGCAAAAAGGCCGTTATCATTGAGATCGATAAAGCCTAAACATACAGACACTTTATACTTACGTGCCCATGAGCATAAACTTTTCCTCAGTAAATTCGTCCTGCCTACGAGAGCCATGTTGTGTGTGTGTTGTGTACGTATCAGTTTGACCGGGGCTTATTGACCTATGACCTACAAACACATAGAGTAAGAGCGCAGCGCTTAGCAGGCTATAGCTAATTCGTAGATGCTGCTGCGGCAGCGCAGTCAGGTAGTCATACCGGAGTCTTACCACAATTCGGTTATATTTTCTTAATAGCACACGCGCGCATGACAGATGTAATTTATGTGATATTAAGGATCTGTTGACTGTTAACTAATTTATCTTATATATGTATATTTTATTTTATATACATAATTGTGTGAATACTTCCCAGAATGATGGTCCCATCTGTACATCTACATCTGTACAAAGATGAAGGATTGACTTTTCTGTTTTTAATTCTCGTTTTACTGCTCCAGAAATATTTGTCAATCACAAGTTTTAGTTCTTAGAGCTGTTTTACTTTCTTTTGTGTAATTTTTTCTTTTATGCTGTAAATTCCTAAATATTGTTTCATAAATGTATGTATTGTTGTTTTAGATTATGCTATATTAGCATGTATACTGTCAATTTTTAGTTTTTACCATATTGGCATATATGTACATTAGACTGAAGCGTCTCTTATAGAATTAATTTATATGCTGCATGAGCTTTATGTTCGCATGACCTTTACATTTCTGTGCTAGTTATCTAAGTGCGTGATGCTACCTTTGTGATCTTTTATTGTTTCTAATAATTATGATTGTTATATATAGTCGTAAGAATAGCTCTTCTGAGCTAAAGTTGCATTGTTACAAACACGACTCTAAATAAAAATTCTTGTATCTGGTATCTTGTATATATATATCCTACAGTGTACAGGATGTATCTCCGTGGTAGCGTCTTCAAAACTGAGCGTTTTGTAATAACACACGTCGTTCTGTAAAAAGAGACAATCAACATAAACTAAACCTTTTATTCATTTCTGATAAAGGCAATAGCCGTAGCCCGGCTGTGGGAGGGAAAGGGGGCTAGGGTAACTGGTCATCTCGGCACTTGGAGAGTTTCGGCACATAAGGTTCGAGACACCTCGGCACTTTTTTCGGGTCACCTCGGCATTTTCAATGGGACACCTCGGCTTGTCGGTATTTTTTCGGTACTTTTCATTACAAATTTACGGAAGCCAGTTAGGGTCACCGGAAAAAATAATATTATGTCGTAATAACGACTTAGTATCTCGTAATAACGACTTAGC